AATAATGTGATTTTGTGCATTTTACCCAACCTCTGTTGTGATTTGATAATAGGTAATGATTTACTCAGTCGTCATTCTAAATTAGAACTCACATTAGGCGGACCCGAATCTCCTCTTGCTATAGTATCTGTAGCTGCTACAAATGTTGCACAAGTTTCACTATTTAAGCATATTTCACATGATTGTCACCCTATTTCTGTGAAATCTCGCGTCATACAGTAACAGATTAAAAGTTTATTTCAGAAGAAATTCGCTCACTATTGCATGAAGGGGTAATAGAACCAAGTATATCTCCATGGAGAGCTCAAGCTTTTGTTACCAGCTCCGAAAACCATAAGAAGCATAAATGGTAATAGACTACTCTAACACTATAAACAGATTTACAAGTCTCTTCGATGCTTATCCAATCCCAAATCTTGAAGAAATTGTCAATAAAGTTGCTAACTATGAAGTGTTTAGTGCCATTGATTTAAAAAGCGCTTACCATCAAATACCGATCAAGGCTGAAGATAAGCCTTTTACAGCTTTTGAAGCATGTGGTCAGCTGTATCAATTTACCAGAAATCCTTATGGGGTGACAAATGGAGTTGCTGCATTCCAGAGAGTTATTGATGGCATAATCAGGGCAGAAAATCTTAATGACACCTTTGCTTATTTAGATGACAGTACCTGGGGACCGAGCTTTGCTCGGGAAAATCATTAGTTTGCTCTGAAAGCAGTCTCAGTATTGCAGATACATAAATCCATTCCCAAACTCCACACTGCTCGCCTTTACTACTTCCTTCAGCACTCCCTACGTCGTGGACCTGTTTCCCTCCCTTCCCATTGCATGTTAGGATTGTAATGTAATTGCCACAGACAGTTCCCACACTCTGCACTGATAGCCTTACCACTTCCTTCACCACTTCCTACGATGCGGACCTGTTTTCCTCCCTTCCCATTGTATTTAAAAGTTGCAGATACGATACCTTAATCTAATCGTCATAAACAGTTCCCACACTCCAGACAGCTCGGCTTGACTACTTCCTTCACCACTTCCTAAGTCGCGAGCCTGTTTTTTCCCTTCCCATAGCATTTTAGGATTGGAAATACCTTAATCTAATCGTCATAAACAGTTGCCACACTCCGGCTAGATCGCCTTGACTACTTCATTCACCACTTCCTACATCGCGGACCTGTTTTCTTCCCTCCCCATAGCATTTTAGGATTGCAGATACCTTAATCTAATCGTCATTAACAGTTCAAAAACTCCGGACTACTCGCCTTGACTACTTCCTTCACCACTTCCTACTTCGCGGACCTGTTTTCCTCCCTTCCCATAGCATTTTAGGATTGCAAATACCTTTATCTAATCGTCATAAACAGTTCCCAAACTCCAGAGAGCTCGCTTTGACTACTCCCTTCACCACTTCCTACGTCACGGACCTTTTTCCCTCCCTTCCCATAGCATTTTAGAATTGCCAATACCCTTATCTAATCGTCACACACCGTTCCCACACTCCGGACTACTCGCCTTGACTACTTCATTCACCATTTCCTACGTCGCGGACCTGTTTCCCTACCTTCCCATAGCATTTTAGGATTGCAGATACCCTAATCGTATCGTCATAAACAGTTCCCACACTCCGGACAGCTTGTCTTTACTACTTCCTTCATCACTTCCTACGTCAAGAACCTGTTTCCCTTCCTTCCCACGGCATTTAAAGATTGCAGATACCTTAATCTAATCGTCATAAACAGTTCCCATACTCCGGACTACTCGCCTTTACCAATTCCTTCACCACTTCCTACGTTGCGGACCTGTTTTCCTCCCTTCCCATAGCATTTTAGGATTGCAAATACCATAATCGTCATTAACAGTTCCCACACTCCAGACAGCTTGCTTCGACTACTTCCTTCACCACTTCCAACGTCGCGGACCTGTTGCGCTCCCTTCCCATAACATTTTAGTATTGCCAATATCCTTATCTAATCGTTATAAACAATTCCCACACTCCGGACTACTCGCCTTGACTACTTCCTTCGCCACTTCCTAAGTCGCGGACCTGTTTCCCTCCCTTCCCATAGCAATTTATGATTGCAAATACTTTAATCTAATCATCATAAACAGTTCCCACACTCCGGACTACTCGCCTTGACTACTTCCTTCGCCACTTCCTACGTCACGGACCTGTTTCCCTCCCTTCCCATAGAATTTTATGATTGCTGATACCCTAATCTTATCGTCATAAACAGTTCTCACACTCTGGACTGCTCGCCTTTACTACTTCCTTCATCACTTCCTACGTCACGGACCTGTTTCCCTCCCTGCCCATAGCAATTTATGATTGCAAATACTTTAATCTAATTGTCATAAACAGATCCAACACTCCGGACAACTTTCCTTTACTACTTCCTTTACCACTTCCTACGTCGCAGACCTGTTTCCTTCCCTTCCTATAGCATTTTAGGAATGCAGATAACCTTAATTTAATCGTCATAAACAGATCCCACACTTTGTACTGCTTGCCTTTACTAGGCCTACAATGTATCGAGCAATCTTCAGTATAATCTTTGCTCAATATTAGTAAATGATGCTTTCCCTTTTGTACTGTATTTGTAATTTGCTAGTATACTGTGGAACAACTTCAAGTCTTTTATTTACTTTTTCCTTGTTTTTAATTCAACCAACATGGTTACTTAGCAACCCATAAGACTAATGTTAAAAAAATGTGACTTTCAGTTTCGTTTTTCTACATAATTAGATTTTTGTTGGGAGTTCTAACTGCATGAAGCTCGTTTTTAGGCCAAAAATAAACTATTTACAAGATTTAAAGAAAATCGTGGGAGCCGTTTTCGAGATCTTTCTGCAAGCAAGCAAGCAAGCAAGCATACATACAAGCAAACATTGCTCGTATTAGAGTATAGGATAACAGTATGTGGTAAAACACAAAGGGAGCATGATAGGAACCTAAACAGGCTGATGAACGCTGCTAGTAAGTATAACTTGACTATTAATGAAAATTAATGTTCTTTTTCAATGAAATCTATTAGTCTTCTTGGATATACAATAAGCAACAAAACGATTAAGCCAGATTCTGATCGACTTTTACCTCTAAAGAACTTCCCCTTGCCCACAAACGCATCATCCCTAAGGAGGGCAGTAGGAATGTTTTCCCATTTCTCAAGATATGTCCCACGATTTTCTGAAAAGATTAAAGATCTGACAACCAGCTCTTTCCCTGTATCTGCAACGGCTATAAATGCATTTAATGAACTGAAACAAGAGATTGAAAATGCCTCAATGAGTCCCATAAATCCTGATCTACCCTTCACTGTTGAGACTGATGCGTCTGACACTGTAATAGGAGCAACACTGACCCAGGAAGGAAAACCTGTAGCCTTTTTCTCAAGAGCTCTGTCTCATAGTGAACTAAAGCACAGTTGGGTTGAAAAGGAAGCATATGCAATCGTGGAGTCAGTACGAAAATGGAGACACTATTTGCTAGGCAGACATTTCAAACTAATAACAGACCAGAAGTCTGTCTCTTTCATGTTCAACTCTAAGATATCGGGGAAAATAAGAAGGACAAAATCATGAGGTGGAGACTAGAACTATCGAGCTATAGTTATGATATTGTTTATAGACCTGGTAAACTGAATGCAGCTGTTGACTCTCTATCACGAGTGTGCTCGATGAGCGACAAAATGAACAGACTTCATCAATACCATGAAAGAATGTGTCATCCTGGTGAAACTCGTATGTATCATTGGATCAGAGGCAAAAATTTACCATACTCCCTTGATGAGGTAAGAAGAATTACTGCTTCCTGTAAGGTATGTTCTGAAGTAAAACCAAGATTCTTCAAACATGATGGAAAATTAATAAAAGCAACATCACCGTTTGAGCGTCTTAGCCTGGATTTTAAGGGCCCTCTTCCCTCTTCTACAAGGAATCGGTGTATGCTAACAACCACTGATGAGTACTCACGATTTCCATTTGCGTACCCCTGTCCTGATATGTCCTTTTCGACTGTTATTTGCAAACTGAAACAGTTATTTTCATTGTTCGGTACTCCTAGCTACATCCACTCTGATCAGGGATCTTCTTTTCTTTTCAAAATAACTAAAGGAGTTTCTCGCTTTAAAGACATTGCTTCTAGCCGGACTACTGCTTACAACCCTCAGTGTAATGGCCAGGTTGAGAGGTATAATGGTATAATCTGGAGAACAGTAGAACTTGCCCTTAAGAACTATCAACTTGACGTGACAAAGTGAAAATTAGTTCTGGATGAAGCTCTTCACTCTATCTGATCCTTGCTTTGTACTGCCACGAATTGTACGCCACATGAACGAATGTTTGGACATCCCAGAAGATCACAAAATGGTGTTTCCACACCAACCTGGTTGATGACTCCTGGAAAAGTGTTGATGAGACGTCCTATCAGAAACTCTAAGTATGAACCAATAGTGCAGGAGGTGACGTTGCTGGAAGGAAACTCTGATTACGCTCATGTACGATTGCCAGATGGGCGTGAGACAACAGTGTCTACACGCAACTTAGCTCCTTGTGGAAAACAAGCTGAGTGTACAGATTTTGATGATAGTTTAACACCAGCGAACCACATAATAGAAGCTAATAACGATGGAAACTTAGTAGACGAAACCCAAGATGTATCTCATCCCGATGCAGAAGTGATAGAAGAATCTAAAACTCAAGAGCCTCTACAAACCTTAGGCTCATGAAACCCAATCACAGAGATGATAAGCTCAAGACAGAAGAGACTACCTTCTCATCATAAAGACTTTAAATTATATTAGCGGGGAAGAATGTGATAGAAAATATTCCCAGCTGTTGTTGGACATTGTTATTTTATTTGTTTATGTTGAATGTTTGTAATCATTATTTCATTCTCTAGATTTAACTCTTACTTATGAATTCCATAACTTGAATTGTGTTAAATAAAGCCTACTCATTTAAGGCAAACAATCTTTATTCTTCAACAAGTGCGAGTGCTTACCTTGTATTATGTTGTCTAAATATGGTGAGTTTGTAACAGTTTCGTAGTCAATATCTTCATTTTCATTGTACATAGATTTCACCTCATCATATAATTTTTCTTGCACATCAGGATTCATAGCAAGCTCGTATATTGTACTGCTGGCTACCATAGAAGCTGTTTCAAATCCCTCAATGAAAAAGGTCGTAGCAAAATGCATTACCTCTTTGAAATCCCCTGGAAACAGAGTATCAATTGTTAACAAATTTGTGCAAAATACTCCAGTTAAGTTATTATAGTTATTTAGTCCTGTTAAGTGTTAAGTTCTTTTTAGTTAGTTAGGTTTAATTTTTCCACTACAGTCTTAAAATAGGAGGTAGCGTATAAAGCATCGTTAATTCAATATATCGTTGAACAGCTGCCATTTTTGGCTCGATTGTTCATTTGAGGTCTGGTTTGCGGCATTGTTTTTAGTTTTACCAGGCCTTTAATTTCATGTAGGCCTACATATCCTCACCTATGCTTACCTTTAAGATTTTCAACTTACTTCCTATGGGCCATCCCCTATAGGTGACGTCCAATTACCATGTACACAAAAAATGAGCTTACTATTACCAGTAATGATATGCCAAATTTGGTTGTGATATCTCTTTTCATTTTAAAGCTACAACAGCTGTCCTAAAGACTTAATTGTCCCCCTGTATGTTAATTGTTCGGCCCCCTATTGTAAACCTGTTTTATACTTTTACTTGTACCTCCAAAGTTAAATTTGTTGAGGGCATTAAGTTTTTTTTTCTTTGAAACCACTAGCTTTTTCTCTTTTAAACCATTATCAATCACAAATAACTTAAACTACAAAGTTTAGGAAGAGCAATGTTTGACTGGTCAACCACAAGTCTTTGTTTTAGCATTGAGACTATAGGATTTGAGAGGTACAGTAGTGAAGTATGCAGGTATGATGAGCTCACAATACACATGCTTACAACTGTATCCTATCCTATTCTCTAATACGAGCAATGTTTGCTTGTATGTATGTATGTATGCTTGCACCAAGATCTCAAAAACGGCTCCGACGATTTTCTTCAAATGTACAAAAACAAAAATCTAATTACGCAGAAAAATGAAACTGAAAGTCACATTTTTTTAACATTAGTCTTATGGGTGCTAAGTAACCATCTTGGCTGAATTAAATAACAAGGAAAAAGTAAACAAAAGACTTGTAAGTTGTCTATCCACAGTATACAAGCAAAACAAAATACAGTACAAAAGGAAAAACATCAGTTGTAACTATTGAGAAAAGATTATACTGAAGATTACTCGATACATTGTGGTCAAGGGTAGCAGTGTGGAGTGTAGGATCTGTTTTTGACGATTAGATTAAGGTATCTGCAATCCTTAAATGCAATCCTTAATTGGAAGGGAAGGAAACATGTCCGCGAAGCAGGAAGGGATGAAGGAAGTAGTAAAGGCGAGCAGTCCGGAGTGTGGGAACTGTTTATGACGATAACATTAAGATATCTGCAATCGAAATATGCTATGGGAAGGGAGGGAAAAAGGTCCGTGATGTAGGAAGTGATGAAGGAAGTAGTAAAGATGAGCAGTCTGGAGTGTGGGAACTGTTTATGACGATTAGATTAAGATATACAATCTTAAAATGCTATGGGAAGGGAGGGAAACAGGTCCGCGACGTAGGAAGTGATAAAGGAAGTAATAATGGCGAGCAGTCCAGAGTGTGGGAACTGTTTATAGCGATTAGATTACGTTATCTGCAATCCTTAAATGCTATGGGAAGGGAAGGAAACATGTCCGCGAAGCAGGGAGGGATGAAGGAAGTAGTAAAGGCGAGCAGTCCGGAGTGTGGGAACTGTTTATGACGATAACATTAAGATATCTGCAATCCAAAAATGCTATGGGAAGGGAGGGAAAAAGGTCCGTGATGTAGGACGTGATAAAGGAAGTAGTAAAGATGAGCAATCTGGAGTGTGGGAACTGTTTATGACGATTAGATTAAGATATACAATCTTAAAATGCTATGGGAAGAGAGGGAAACAGGTCCGCGACGTAGGAAGTGACAAAGGAAGTAGTAAAGGCGAGCAGTCTGGAGTGTGGGAACTGTTTATAATGATTAGAAAAAGGTATCTGCAATCCTTAAATGCTATGGGAAGGTAGGGAAACAGGTTCGCGACGTAGGAAGTGATAAAGGAAGTAATAATGGCGAGCAGTCCAGAGTGTGGGAACTGTTTATGACGATTGGATTAAGGTATCTACAATCTTAAAATGCTATGGGAAGGGAGGGATACAGGTCTGAGATGTAGGAAGTGGTGAAGGAAATAGTAAATGCGAGCAGTCTAGAGTGTGGGAACTGTTTATGATGACGATTAGATTAAGGACATAACTACATAATACATAATTTGGAACTATTTAAAAATAAACCTACTTATGCTGGAGAATTTTTTTTTCCCCCAAATTACCATTAACCTTAAGACAAGAGCCGAATCAAAGAATATTAAAAAGGAAACTTAAAGATTTTAGATTTTATAACGACTAAAGCATTGTATAATATATAAGAATTTCTTGACCCAGAGTTTAATTCAAAACCTTCTGGGACTTGAAGGGCTTTTGGATGTTTAGAATATTTTACTGCTTTCTTATTAGCGAATTTCCCATATAGGGAATAAGCTATTACCGTAGTACTCATGGTAAGACCTGGACGCGGGACCAATTTTTTTTTTTGTTTTGAGGTCCCTAGAGGCCAAAAACACCATCCGTTCAAATTCATATATATATATATATATATTTATATATTTATATGTTTATATATATATATATGTGTCCGTTAGCACGATAACTCGAGCAAAAATGATCCGATTTTGATGAAATTTGGTACAAACGTGTAAACCTACGTTTATTCGAACGAGTTCGCGATCCAGCTTGATCGGACCATGGGAACGGGGTTTTATGGGGTAAAAATAGGTTTTCCCCGTTTTTGACCCAAAAAACATAAAATTTAGCAATTTCTTTCTAAACCACTTTGTAGAGCTTAAAAAAACCAAATAATTTAGTATATTGAAGCGTTATTATGCGCGTAATGGTTACGGAGAAAATTCAAAAAAATTGTAGATTTAAAATTCCCATGTTATTCTTATGGAGAATAAGTAAACTGTTGTAGTTTGCTTGTTTATGAACATATTTATGAACATATTTGAACATATTCAGCAAGGAATATGATATTTTGATAATAAGTTGACTAACTATTAACATTTTACAAAAAAAAACAGTTTTACCCTCCCTGATGCAGCAAACCTAAGTATATGTTAAACTAATTCTATTTATATAGGGAATTAATGTTATATTTTTAAGTAGACATTTCAGTGTAAGTCCAATCAGTCAAATGGAAATTCGCTTAGTCTGCAGGTTTGCTGCGGCGGGGGTATTTTATTTATGATTGTTATTTGTTCTGTTGAGAATCTCTATTGTAATAGTATAAATATAGCCTTCTTTTAATGGTAAAAAAATGGTAGAAATAAGTTAGAAAACAGTTTTAAGTTATAATAAAGAATCACTTTTCGACACTGTTCAATGTACTGTAAATATGTACTAAAAGAAAAAAGATTGTTTGAAATGAAATGAAATTAAATTAAATGAAATGAAGGTATCTGCAATCCTAAAATGCTATGGGAAGGGAGGAAATAGGTCCAAGACGTAGGAAGTGGTAAGGGAAGTAGAAAAGGAAAGCAGTGTGGAGAGTTGGAACTGGAAACCGTTTGTAGCAGTTAGATTAATGTATCTGCAATACTGAAATGCTATGAGAAGGGAAGGAAACGTGACCGGGACATAGGAAATTGTGAAAGAAGTACTAAAGGCTAGCAGTGCGGAGTCTGGGGAATATTTTGTGGCATTTATATTAGTTTATCTATAATACTAAAATGCTATGGAAAGAGATGAAAACAGTTTAGCATCGCAGAGTTGTGGGAACCGTGTGTGGCAGTTAGATTAATGTAGGCCTATCTTCCATCCTAAAATGCTATGAGAAGGGAAGGAACAGGTCCATGACGTAGCAAATGGTGAAAGAAGTAGTAAGGCCAGCAGTGCAGAGTGTGGGAACTGTCTGTGGCATTATATGTATCTGCAATTCTAAACTGGTATAGGGAAGGAGGGCAAACAGATACACGAAGTAGGGAGTGGTGAAGGAGGTAGTAAAGGCGAGCAGTGTAGAGTTTGGGAACGGATTAATCTATCTCTAATGCTAAACTGCTTTCAGAGTAAACTAATGATTTCCCCCGAGCAAAGCTCGGTCCCCAGGTACTATTACATAATCAAAGGTGCTATGAAGTGCACTCAACAATCAGAAACTATAGAGGGTGTTCATTTGAAAACTTTCCATCCTATCTGTTGTGTGCAAAGGTAAGACTTTTAACACTTGTTTGTTCTCATTTCCCCCTAATTTGGACATGCCAAATCCAATAAAATTATTTTCATTTTTGAAAAATTTCCCAAAAAGGCCCAATTTGGGGGGGGGGGTAGGGGTGCTTTTTGAGACATTTTCAAATGTAAACATGGGTTGTGTGATTCATCAAATTAAAGGTCTAATCACCCCGATCATTTTGGTACAAAAAAATTTAATTATCTTTAATTGTATTTACAGGGTGGGTCAAAACGTTTTTAAAAAGTACTTTGAAATTATAAGTACCGTATTACCCTAACTACTGAATGGGACAGCCCCAAATTTCTTCCCAAGCATATTCTTGAGCTACTCTTTATGATAACTTGTATTAGGCTAAGGGCATTTTCCATGTTATTTTCTAATTAAAACAAAAAATCTCAAATTTGAAGAATAAAAGAATGCTGAAAACTTAAAAAAGGACCTTTCACATGATACAACAAAAAAAAATTCTTATACCTTGCTATTTAAGAATTTTTAGTTTTCAGCTTTCTTTTACTCTTCAAATGTTGAGATTTTTTTATTAGAAAATAACATGAAAAATGCCCTTACTACAAGTTATCATAAAGAGTAGCTCAAGAATATGCTTGGGAGGAAATTTTGCGCTGTTCCGTTCATTAGTTAGGGTAATTGGTATACAGTACTTAATTTTAAAGTCCTTTTTTAAAACGTTTTGACCAAACCTGTTAATAGGGTTAAAGATAATTAATTTTTTGCACCAAAATGATTGGGGTGATTAGACCTTTAAATTGATGTATCACACAGCCCATGTTTACATTTGAAAAAGTCTCAAAAAGCACCCCCCCCCCCCCCGAATTGGGCCCTTTTGGGGCATTTTTCAAAAATGAAAATAATTTTATTGGATTTGGCATGTCCAAATTAGGGGGAAATGAGAACAAAGAAGTGTTAAAAGCCTTACCTTTGCACACAACAAACAGATATGGAAAGTTTTCAAATGAACACCATGTATATAGCCTACAATCAAGTTTAGTTGACAATACCCTGGTGGGCATCTTCCAAAATAATTGTGGTGACTAAATGGGTTGTCTGTATCAACAATGTAAAATTATATCGTTGGTCTGGATATATCCGATACAAATGATTTCATGGTACTCGATCATATACAGGGCATAACACCGAAGGTCGAGTAACTGAAGAGCGGATAGTCGAGACTCTACTCTAGGATTTGAAATATGTAGTGAATTGACTTTTTTTAAAACACAGGCATTGGTCTTAGATCTTAGCTCTTCTATTAGCCCTTCAGAACGGAACTTCACCCTGAGTTCTAATATTTTAAAAAATCACTAAGATACACAAGAACACTTACCAGATTCCTTTTTCAGAACAAACTGGAACAGATCATTCCTTGAAATACCATTATTCTTCCTATATGCAATTACTTCTTGCACAACTTCTTCCAGATATTTGCAAACAACTGGAGGCAAAAGTCTGGAGCAGAATAAATAGATTTAAAAATATAAGTATTTCTATTTTTTGAGTAGGGATCTAATAGTGGATATATGTTGCTATTTTATATGGTAGACTTAAAGGATCTCATTAATCTCTTTCTTGCAGTTGCACTTGTAATAAGTGCTAGTGAAACAGCACTATACTACTATAGTGAAATAATAAATTGTGGGAAGGGAAGCTAGAATGAGTTTTAATTGTTTAGCAGACTTTTTAAAAGGCTCCATACATGTAATAGTAACATGTAAATAAATCTATCAAAACTTTACTTGGATGTTAATTTACATGACATGCATTTATATAGCCAACCCAAACGGCAAAAGGGTGTATATAGTAACAACAGAAGAAATATACTTTAATGGATGAGGTTGTAAATTAAAATTGTGGACCCAGATTACTCATAGTCATAGTCATAGTCAAGAATATTTATTCATAGTATACATGGTTGTACATGAATAGTGTCAAATTGATTAAAACTAAATGCTTAAAACTATGATGAAGCCATTTTCAATTCATCTAAAGAATATAAGGACAGGTCCATTAAATATTCCTTGAGACGTTTTTTAAAAATGTTGGGTTTTTCTTCTGCTTTAATTTTCGGAGGAATACATTTTTTTAAATCATGTCCTGCATTGACAGTCTTTTTTTTGAAGAGCTCTAATTTATGTTTTCCAATTACAAAGCTATTTTTGTTATGTGTATTAATATATTCATATTCATATTCAAACATCTTTATTCGTAAATCATGTACATTGGTGGTACAGTGAATAGTGTCAGAATACTTAAAATAAAAATACTATTTCTATTTATGGGAGGTGGAAAATTCATCAAAAGAATATAGCCTAATGCTAGATTTATTAAGTTATATGCTCTTTTAGAATTTTCTTGAATTTAGATAGGTTTGTTTCTCTTTTTATGAATTCAGGGACAAATTTTAGAAAATCGTTACGAGCATATGAGGGTTTTTTCCTAAAAATTTTAATTTTTGAGGCTGGACAAACTCCCTTCTCCTCCTAAAATTATAAGAATACACTGAATTTATTACTTGCTCAGATTCATTTTTTTTAGCGATAAGAATACATTTTTTAATAAATATATTGCCCATAAACCGTAAAAATTTGTAATTTCTTAAAAAATGTTCTTTTGCCGAATCGTCTCGTTTAAGCTTAAGCATAATTCTGATAGCTTCTTTTTGTCGCTTCAGAATGCTATCCATATTTAATATTTTTGTTGACCCATATAATGCTAAACCGAATGAAATATGGGAGTGAATGTGTGCAAAATATATACTTTTAAGGGATTTCAAATTACAATAAAAGGAAATTTTTGAACATTCCAGTTTTGGTTAAAACTTTCTGTGTGTGTTTATCCCAATTCAAATTTTCATCTATTGTTAATCCAAGAAAGTTGATTTGATTTTCCTTTTGAATGTTATTTGAGTTGTAGGTTATTGTTTGCTCTTTTGTAATTCATCTGTTCTTTGCTGTTCTGAAATTTATAAATTTAGTTTTTTGTGAATTTAATAATAAGTTATGACTGTAGAAATAGTTTCCAATATTCTCTAATTCTACATATGTAAGAATTTCAGTTTCTCCTGGAGAGTTAGATGATACAATCAAATTACTGTAGAATCATCAGCGTAAAGACATAATTTTGAATTTTGCTTGTAGGTTAAAGTATCTTCCATGCTCTTAAGGTAACACAAAAAAAGCAAAGGCCCCAAAATTGAACCTTGTGGCACCCCAAATTTAATTGGTTGAGTTGATGATGATTTGATAATTCTATTATGATTTGTCAAATGGGTAATTTCCACGAATTGAGATCTATTTGTCAAATAGGAAGAAAACCAATTAAGTTATGATTGTTTTCTTTAATTGGTGGATTGATTTTTTTTTACAAACATATAATACAGTCAAGAACATACAAACCATAAACAGTGAGGATCCTTAAATGTTTAAGGTGTTCTTTTGCTGAATCATCCTTGTTCATTTTTAACATAGCTCTGATTGATTGCTTCTGTATTGTCAAAATCTGGTCTAGATTCAAATTTGAGGTGACTCCATATGCACATATACCATAAGTTATATTGGATTCGATTGAATATGGGAAAAATAAATCATTTTTAAAAACTTCAATACTGTATAGTTTTAACATTCAATACATGCATAGATTAAAGAACAACTAATGCACCTGTTGCTCGAATTTGAGCAATTACGAAGTATTAAAGGTGTTATTTCAAAACGAAACAGTCATAATTTCTGATGACTTAAAATGCGTCAACTCAAAGACAATGTAATCAATCACTCCACTCCAGTTATCGAAACTGAAAACGAACTCACTCTGAAAACTAACTCTCTTGTGTGTGTTATGTGTTACTATAAACACTGAACAGCTGTTTTAGTATGCAATTAATACAAAATGATTCGTCTGTTTAAGTAAACAAAATCTATTCTTCATAAGAAATACAATGGGATTTTGATGGTCTGTGGGGGCAAAGCCCAAGGACTTTTATTACAGGAATTCGTGAAAGGAGGCGTCTACACAAAAAAATACATCATTTTGACACATCGTTTGTAATAATCCGTCCATTATTAACGGAGGAGTAGTGTTTCGTAGAAATCGCCTTCACGTATTATATTTATACTAGTGCACCTGTTGCTCGGATTCGAGCAATTGCAAAGTATTACTGTACAGGCGTTATTTCAAAACGAATAACATACATTTCCAGATGACTTAAAAGAGTCAACTCAAAGATAATGTAATAAATCACTCCACTCCAGTTATCGAAACTGAAAACGAACTCACTCTGAAAACGAACGCTTTTGTGTGTATCATGTGTTTACTATGAACAGCTGTAATTAATACAAATCATTTGGCTACACAAAACAATAAATGCACAAATTTAAGTTACAATCATGCTAACTTGATCCGTCATAGCGACACAAAACAACGATAAAACACACATTTAAGATACAACACAACCATACTAACACGATCCGTCTTGGGGGTTATGTTTGCACAAACTCAAATAGTAAATAAATGAACTCAATGCGTTTCATTGAATTGAAAAATAAATAACAGCAATTAAATCATACAGCTGATCAAAATGTAAACAATTGTGTTCTTCATAACAATAACATGGGAACTTTCAAAGCCACTGGGGCAGAGCCCAAGCGACTTTTGCAAAAATGTAAGGCCAGTTTGCAAATTTACGCGACACGCTCTTTCCAATGAGACGTCAATGGATAAAATCGGTTTAGAAATGGTGAAGGAGTTCAACCGACAATGTTTCATGTAGCGTATTAATTATATAGATTCTTCATAAGAATAACAAGGGGATTTTAAATTACAAATATATAATGAAAACCCAGTTTTTACACCATAAAACCCTCCATAAGCCGCCGTTCCCATATTCAGATCATGCTGGTGGTCGCGAACTCGTTTTAATAAATGTAGGTTTACACGTTCATACAAAATTTCATCAAAATCAAATTTTACACACACACACACACACACACATATATATATATATATATATATACATATGTGTATTTGAATTTGAACGGATGGTGTTTTTTGGCCTCTGTGTACCTCAAAACAAAAAAGTAAATCAGTCCCGGGTCCAGGTCTTACCATGAGTACTGCGGCAATAGCTTATTCCCTATATTGGTAATTTGCTAAAACTTACGCAAAACCAAACAGCTTTTTGAGATGTGGAAAAAATTGAATAATCAATGTTTTCCACCATGTTTGAAGTTGTTCCTTCATCATTATGTCTCCAAATTTTCGAAATGGTGCTTCTTGATCTGAGAAACAGTTGCTGGAGATTCCAAAAACGGTGTCAGAAACAATATCCATAGAAAACAGAGTTGCCAAATCCTTAGCCTGCAAAATTAAGACAATAGAAAACTCCCTGTTCACAATTTAAATTTGAAGATAGTCTGACATTCAATTGTCTTATGTTATTCCTAACATAAAAGTTAGCTACAGAGCTACTCGCTTTGACTTTAGCTGCCTTGTAGTTGTAAGTGTGGTATTCTGAGTGTTGTCACTCTTGTCATCGCAGATGCAGATGATGGTAGAAGAGGTTTACCTACAATGAACAGTGGACTGTTTGTGAGTTGCAATGAAATTAGGCAATTCTACTTCATATCCTTGCTTTGTATACCCGCTGAAAAATTAAAAAGTTTTATGACGATTTTAATGTTTTGCTAACAAGATGAGGGAAAACTTGAATTAAAAAGAGGCGTTATTACATTTTGATCAGTACGGGCCATTTAGTTGCAGAATCGGTAGTTTACTGAGTGTAAAATATCACATCATTATGGTAGAAGCAAGGGTGAAAAATATGCAGTCTGTCCGTGCTTGCTTGTCCATGATTCAGATGTTAATCTATGAACAATCTTGTTACTGAGCTTAGAGTTACACATTATATGTTTTCCCTAAGTTTAAAATCACTTTATAAAACCAACGCTAATAAGTATTACTGTTATAATCACCTCAAAATCCTTATCAATATTATCATCTATATAGGTACGCAATCTGGGAATAATGTCCTTCATTAAAGGAAATATTTCTTTCATCCTAGCTGGCGTCAATCTTGTCACCAGTTTCGCACGTTGAGGTTTCCACCTATACAATAAAAATTTAACTTGATTAATTCTTAATCCTTACCAATTTTTACAACTACCCAACCACAAGCTAGAACTAATGAAAATTTGTGTATATTTATTAAACAGTTATTTAGGATAAAACTATCAAAAGTTATATAGTAAGCAATTCACACCACTTAAGAGTTGTAATAAAAATTAAGAGTGTGTGTAGGGAGTTATAAGTTTAACTGTTTCTTTTAATTTAGAATATTGTTTTTGTGTATAACAAAAACTAGCATACTATTTACACTTGGCAAAATATATTCCAGTTCTGAAAATAATTTTTCCTACAGTTACCTGACTAAGTGGCCATCCTTGCACTGATTATATATAGTACACCAAGTAACTAATTATTTAATTTACTTACTTACTACTGCCGCACTCATTTTACTGTTTCCACACTCCAGTGTTCCAACCAAACAGAAACAACACAAAACAGAATGCTTTTATTAGGCACGTAATATGTGTACGGTTGAAAATAAGTTGGCAATACTTAAAGATAATGCGACTACCATCAGCTGGTGCAGCATTTCCCATTTCGTTCAACACTTGGATTTAACCTAACCTAAAAACGTGTTGTATAGTGTTTGAAAACTTATTATTTACCGGTATACGTTTTATAGTAGCTGTAGAAAAAATATTATGTGTAATGGGAGTGCAGAGTGCCTTTGCTGCACTCGAGATACTTTCCACACTCACCTGCGGCTCGTGCGTAAACATGTTTCTCATGTGCAGCAAAGTGCCACTTCATCACACAGCACTAGTTACACAAATATTCCTTATAATATATCATGAGTTTGGAAAATAAAGTTAGAAATACATTTTATTTTATCAAACACATTGGTTAAATAGGTACGTAAATTATCCAACAACCAATATTTTAAGCTTATAGAATAGTCTAATTTTACTCATACGAATTTATAAGAATTTACAAACTAGTTATGAAACACAAATACAACTTACTCTTCCCCTCTGATCACAAAGGGATCCATCGCAAAATAAGGATCTAGTTCTTTGTTGACAGAGAACTCGTTATCATGAAAGCTGGAAAATTCTGTCACAGTAACTGTTTTTATGAGTTCTGGGCTTCTGACCAAAAGTTTTGGTGTTAGACATGAATATATACCTACAGCATCGTGTTCAGGGTAAGACCTGCAACAGAAAACTGATTGTTTGAATAGCAAGAGAGCAATTTTAAGGGATGTTATCACTAGTATTCCAAAATATACAGTGTAAAAGCACAGGCCAGTTAAGAGTAATGCAAGTCTAGTGAAATGAACAGCAAGAGGGCTACTGTGGAACATTAAACGTTAACACTTTGTTTGCTATAAAATAAAAATACCTAGATGTAAACAAGCAAATTTTACATACAAATTTTGAACTGTTTTACTCCGTTGACAAAATTTAGGTGGTTTTAGGGGAAGAAATCTATCCCCTAAACGTCTTGATCCTACCATTTAAACATAGACAACAGCTGAGATTTGTCAAAATGTTTATCAGCTGCAATAATATAGGTACATAAAGCAAAAAAGTGGAAGGTGACCACTCAAACCGCTGACTCTTAATTAGTTTAATTCATGTTTTGGTCTAACACTATTAGTATAATGCGGTTACTTTAAATAATAAAATAAGAATTTGATTTAGGATTAGCAAATGGAAATTTGTCAGCACTCAGCAGGTTATACCCAGTTCTAATAATACCTGTAAATTTCATCAATTACGATTCCAAGGTTAGTCTTCATTGTAAATGCAGCATATACATTTCCAAATCCAATCTTTGTGGGAGGTTGTGTCAAACCTTTCTTGTTCCAATATCCATAGATGTGGTTTATATACAGGTAAAGTAAAGTGGCAGCGCCCAATAGGGCAAGCACTATTACTTCCAACATATCCCTGCTTTCTATTCCTAAAAGATAAACATGAAAATCTGTGGTAAAATGTTTGATACAAAATACAGTATTTGGAATTCCTGGATGCTTGGAATGTAGTAACATACAGCTACTGGCCCATGTATGATTTGATTGTCATTTCTTGGTACTAGAAGTGGTTTCACATGCTGTAAAAAAATGTTGTTTTAGCGAATTTCCCATATAGGGAATAAGCTATTACTGTAAGTCTTATGGTAAGACCTGGACTCAGGACCGATATACTTTTTCGTTTTAAGGTTCCCATAGAGGCCAAAAACACTAACCGTTCAAATTCATATATTTATATACAGGGTGTCCATAAAAAACGTTTCAGGACTTTGGGAAATGATTCCTCATACTAAAAGGAAGAAAAAAGTTAATTTGAAGGTATGTCCGAAATGCATATTTTACCCAGTTATCCGCCATTTTGTTTTTTATACAAAAATATGTTTATCTTTAAAGTTTTTCATTCGATGATTATATGAAATTAATTATGGTAACCATGTTAACATACACAAGACCTATTATAACAAAAATAATAAAGTTGTTCCGATTGAAAATTTCAAAATGGCGGCCGTTTGAATTTTTATAACTTAAATAACTCAAAAACGGCTAATTCTATGAAAAAATGTCAAGAATACTTTTTTAATTCCCTATCAAACGATACCAAGATCAAAAAGATCGGACAAAAGATAATTGAAGTATCACGTTTTTTGTGTAAAAATGAGGCAAAGTTAGTCAAGGAACCCTTAATTTTGTCTTATTTTTACACAAAAAACGTTATATTTCAGTTATCTTTTGTCCGATCTTTTTGATCTTTGGTATCGTTTGATAGGGAATTAAAAATGCTAAAAAAGAATATTCATGATATCTTTTCATAGAATCAGCCGTTTTTGAGTTATTTAAGTTATACAAATTCAAACTGCCGCCATTTTGAAATTTTCCACCGTTTTTTATGGACACCCTGTATATGTATTTATATATGTGTCCGTTAGCACGATAACTCGAGCAAAAATGATCTGATTTTGATGACATTTGGTATAAAAGTGTAAATCTACATTTTTATCTGAACGAGTTTGTAAACCTGCAGGATTGGACTATGGGAACATGGGTTTATGGGGGGTTTATGGGGTAAAAATGGGTTTTTTCCTATTTTTCATTCTATTAACATACCATAACATTTTGCATTTTCTTTCCAAACCATTTTGTAGAGCTCATAGAAACAAATAATTTAGTACTGTATAATAATTATGCATGATGTGATATGATATAGATTATGTGATATGATTATCATTGTTGTATGCCTAACCATTACGGAAAAGATTAAAAAAATTTTAAATTTTAAATTACCGGTACCATGTTATTCTTATGGAGAGTAAATAAACTGTTATAGCTTGCTTGTCTAATGACATAATAATTTTAATGAAATTTGGAAAATTTGTTTACTTTGTACTAAGCTATCTATATTTTAATTAAAAAAACACACCTTATTGTCTTCCCTGTAGCATCAAACCTAAGTACTCATTTTAATTAATGATATTTAAATAGGAAAATCTGACAATTTTAAGAGAATAATTTGGTGAATTCCAGCCAAGTAGAAGGCTTATTATTTATTTTAAATAATTATAGAACTGGCCAACTTTTGGTAAATTATTATTTTATATTCAAACAATTATTTGTCATTATTTAAATCACTGCAATAGTTGACTATTATTTATTTTTTTTTTTTTTAGGAAGGCCTGAAGGCATAGCCTTGAAATAATTATTTATATTGTAGTACAAACAGTGTGTAACAGAATTATTAATCCATCCATAGTAGTCTCCAACTTTCTGGAGGACTATAACAGCTACAATTTACTAGGCCAATGTGTTCATAACCACATATTCACACATACATAGATCATATTCCATTTTTTAACCCCACAAAAATGGACTTAGGTCCACATGCAGCTTCAAGGATGTAGTTGCTTGATTTATGCTCCATACACTTCTGTTGTAGTAGTTTCTGTCACAGTGATAGACATGTCCTACTTTAGTTCAATTGAAACAGTTAACAGGGTTATCACTCTCTCTCTTCAAACTGTCGTTTTTACACGACTGGGAAGAGCATTATGTTTCCATTAGTGTAAACATTGTTTGATGGATTAATACCACAAACGCACAAACACTTGAAAAATACCGATGGATAATAAACATAACCAAATGACGTTTTTGGACCGAAAGTAAACAAAACCCCTATACTAAAAGCATTAATTAACACATGGTTTTGTTTACTTTCAGGCCAAAAACGTCATTGGTTTAAACACCGGGTCTTTGTGATTAATACTGATATTTTAGATCATTTAGAACCAATAAAATTTGCTTAAAACTTGTGCACATCTACTTACTAACTTGTACAAAAACTTGTATAAGTAAATAGGTACTTATTCAATATTTTCCCTGCAAATGTACTGTGTATAGAATTGGACAAATATGTAACACAATAATATACCACTTAGGCCTATTGTTCAGTGGCGGTCCCAGGAGAGGGATGAAAGGAATATATCCCTATTTTATATTTTATTAGCTAATATAAATACTATTAGCTTGATCATATTTTAGAGCTCAAATACATGAATACCCTCGCCGCAGCAAACCTGCAGACTAAGCGAATTTCCATTTACCTGGCTGGATTTCTAGTAAAATATTTCCTAAAAATTGTCAGATTTATTTCCTATTTAATTAACATTAATTTTAATGAGTACTTAGGTTTGGTGCTACAAAGAGAAGGTATTGAGGTGTTATTTTTTTTTATGAAATGTTGATAGCTTAGATAGAATGAAACAAACAAAAATTGCCGAATTTTAATACATCCATAAATAAGCAAACTACAACAGTTAACGCTTCAATATACTAATTTTTTTTAGCTCTACAAAATGTTTTGGAAAGAATTTGCTAAATTTTATGTTTTTAGGGTCAAAAATAGGAAAAATAAATTACCCCATAAAATCCCCCATAAGCCCCTGTTTCCATAGTCCGATTATGCTGGTTCGCGAACTCGTTAGAATAAACGTAGGTTTACAAGTTTGTAACAAATTTCATCAGTTATCGCGTTAACGGACACATATATACCTATATGAATTTGAAAGGATGGTGTTTTTGGCCTCTGGGGACCTCAAAACAAAAAATTAAATCGGTTCCGGGTGTAGGTCTTACCATGAGACCTGCTGTAATAAAGCTTATTGATATGGAAAATTCGCTAAAATACGTTTTTAGGCTTTAAATTCCATTTTATGTTGTTTGTTGTTGTTCCGGATCGGTATGACATTCAATAAAAGGTTAAATTACCTGTGTCCACCGGTCGATCCTAATATTGCTGTGTCCTATTACAGGACAACCTCCTGCTGTTGTCCTGTAATAGCACACAGCAATATTAGGATCGGCCGGCGGACACAGGTAATTTAACCTTTTATTGAATTTAAATTCCACGTTTTTCCGGGTGGGGACCCCCCTCTTTTCTGGGGGTTATTCCATACCCCCCAGGCCCCCCGGTGGTCACCCCCCCCCCCCCCCGAAATGAAATCCTGGGACCGCCACTGCTATTGTTTGATTTCAGCATTTTTGGGTATAACATTAATGTAACACTACGTACATCGTCAAGCAGTGTTTAAGCTTTTCAGAACAAGAATTTTTTTTAAATTACATGATATTTCTCATGTTGTTTACTAAAACAACATCGCATGTTGTAAATTCATCTTATGTTGTGAGTACTTTAATGTGTTGGGCAACAAATACGTTTATTTGTTAAATATATGAATAATTACCTAACCTGACCTCTTACCAGATTCTCATTCAATCTACACTTAATTATAGTTTTATATGGAGGTGCGTAATAATATAAGTGTTCAAATTCAACAATTACTTATAGGCTATATTCAACAATTACTCTCATATTTACATAATCCTACATACATTGTAATGTAAACAATTGTACACATAACATTGTACAATGCTAATACATTGTAATGTGTACATTGTTGTTGTATGTTGTGTTGTTTGTTCCTACTTTGAAAAGGTAAAGGTACAAAAATATTTTCATTTCTCTGCAAATGTCTATGATAGATCGTTCAAACATTACTTTGTACAATGTTTTATGTATTTTGTCTCCATGTAAGAGCTAAATTAGCTCAAACAACTATGTTGTATTTCTCACCTGATGACGCAGTTGTGTGGACCAAAGCTAGCAGACCTGTGGGAAATCACAGATAGGCGCAGGCGCACCCACCGCTCACCTTGAGGTCTATTAAGTCAACCACTCAACAAGTTGAGAGTTTCAATCTGCAGCGTCATTGTCATTTATCTACTACGTACTGGCCTTATGAAATGACCTGTGATTTCTATATGTGTCTAAATATTCTAAACAACTTGATAACTTACTATGATGTAACCAATATAATTGGAACTCTGTTTGAATTTTAAAATACTCGTATAATAGTCCAAAAGGATCCCCAGGTATTTTATATTGTTTGTTTGTCTGACAATCTCACATTTATCAGTATAAACATTTTGCTTACTGATGATACAATCACCAGAATGATAAATGATTTCATTAGAAAATAAATTTTTTTTTAGATTGTCACAGAAGTTATATTATTTCCCAGCAAATTTATCCCCATTTACGTTAACCAGATGTAGCATTAACTTTGTAAAAGTGTTGGATTAATATGTCAGCTCCGCCAATATTGCAAGCAGACAAATGCATAGTCTACATATTGTGCACCTAGTTTTGTCTAATATTGATGATGGATTTGTAAGCTGGATATTTCATACGATGAACTTCAAGAACCATTTTTTCTCTTCCACGTCCCTCCCCGGTATTTTTAGTATAATGTTGATATCAAACAATAATTTGTTTTATATTTGTCCAATTTAATATAGTTTTGCCCAGTAAAAAATTATATAGTACATACTGTTAAGTGTTAGGAATTTAAAATCAGAGTATAAACTGATTCCTTACCTTCTACTTTTTCCTTTCAATCAAGACATGATTAAATGTAAACACAGTACTGTAATGATAACTGAAGAGTTAGGAAACATTTTATGACCAAATAAGCTTTCTTCTTATCTTATCTCTCACAAGGTAAGGTAAGCAAGGTAATACGTTTTGATGAGATGTTTTTACATAGGGAATTCAGGGAAGTAGCTATTATACCGTAGGTGGCAAGACCAAGACCTGGGCCCGTAACCTATTTACTTTTTCGTTTTGATGTCCCCAGAGACGAAAAACACTATTCGTTCAAATTTATATATATATGTGTCCGTTAACATGTTAACTTGAGTAATTTTGGTCCTATATTTGGCTTGAAGGCTGAATAAACATGAATGAATTCGCGAACCATTAAGATTGGGTCATGGAAACGAGTTACTTTGGGGTTTTGAAATTTGGATTATTTTCAAATGTTCACTCTTAAAACATGGAAATGCCCAATTTTTATCAAAACCCTCTTGTAGAGCTTAAAACAATAATTATGTATATTGAAGTGTTATTGTACAAGTGAAGATTTAAATAACCCCGCCGTAGCAAACCTGCCAAACTAAGCGAATTTCCATTTGTCTTTAAAGGGTCAAATTAATTTTGTGTTTAGAGGGTCTAAAATTAGAAAAACAAATTTTTACCCCATTTTAAAACCCCCCATAAAACCCCGTCTTCATGGTCCAATCATGCTGGTTCTCGAATTCATTCAAGTTTATCCCGCCTTACACCTTTAAACCGAATTTCATCAAAATCCGACAAAAAATTACTCAAGTTATCGTGTTCACGGACACACACACACATATATATATATATATATATATATATATAAATCTTAAACGTATATAAAAATTTGAACGAATGGTGTTTTTGGCCTCGGGGGCCACCAAAATTAAAAAGTAAATCGGTCCTGGGCCTAGGTCTTACCATGCCACCTACGGTAATAGCTATAGGGAAATTCGCTAAAAAAACTGTACTTTTAAATTCCCATGTTTTTCTTATGGAGAATATCAAAAATTATTTATTAAAATAAAAACATGAACATAACTGTAAACAATCCTACTTTGATAGTTGTTCTCATTGTGTATCACAGATTTTTGTTGCTGCTTAGTTTAGTATTCATTGTTAATAGTTGTTAATAGTCATAGTTGTAAATTAGCTGTGGTAATAAATACAAAAAATGAATAGTGCTGCACCCTGTAACTTTTTAATTGTATTAAAAACTAGCAGAGTACCCGTCTTTCGTACATTAAAAATATCATAGAACCAACTTCTTTAACCAACAGCTGGCAAAATTCTTTAATTCCTTATAATATGAATACTGAATTATGAGTACTCATAAGAATAACATGGAAACTTTGAACCCCCATGGAGCATAGCCCTATAGTACTTTCACAACTTTCAATATGCCTATGTGTTTCTCAACTCTGAGTGCCCCTCTGAAAAATGTCAGCTCAATTGGTCCAGTAGTTTTCACGTGATGGAACTTCAGACTTACACACTAACATCCATACTTTCACATCCTTATATATAATACGTGAAGGCGATTTCTATGAAACACTACTACTCCGTTAACAATGAATGGATTTTTACAAACGACGAGTCAAAATAAAGTATTTTTTGTGTAGACGCCCCATTTCACCAATTCCTTTAATAAAAGTCCTCGGGCTTTGCCCCACAGGCCATCAAAATCCCAATGTATTTCTTATGAAGAAAAGATTTTGTTTACTTAAACAGACGAATAATTTGTATTACTGTAATTACAGCTGTTCATAGTAAACACATGATACAGTAGACTCCCTCTTATCTGGACACCTTTTAACCAGACATCAGTTTAACCGGATTACACTCAGCGGAAATGACATTTCTTTAACCGTACAATTTTTATTGGCACATCGGTTTAACCGGACTAGATCGTCAGGAAGTGGGCGGTGCTGAAATTACTGTTCTTGTTCTCGTGGGAAAGATTTGAGACCATTGATCACGTGTCTAAATACAATGCTCTCCTAAAGTTAAGTCAAATAAGTATTAAAGAGTTTTTGAGGACGTCGGTTTAACCAGAAAAACTGTTTTCCGGACTGGCCACGGTCCCAAGGAGTCCGGATAAGGGGGAGTCAACTGTACCCACAAGATCGTTCGTTTTCGGTTTCGATAACTGGAGTGCAGTGATTGATTACATTATCTTGGAGTTGACTATTTTACATCGGAAATTATTACTGTTAGGGTTATTCGTTTTGAAATAACGCCTGTAATACTTTGCAATTGCTCGAATTCAAGCAACAGGTGCACTAGTTATTTATGACTAGCAGAGTACCTGTCCTTCGTACGGGGTTGGCATATGTAATTATAAAATGCTTATTGCAGTTATACTCGAGCTTTGCGTTTGCAATGAGAGAGGACACAGTTTAATAAAATTTGCTTCTTTAAATTTACGGTATACTCACATCTACACAGTATTACACATCTACCATAGCCATAATGTTCTACCACTTCACCTAAACAATTGAGAAAAATCAATTATTAAAAATTTGCAAAATATCACAAATTATTCATGAAATTAAAAACATAATCATAACTGTAAACAATCCTACTTTGACAGTTCTGATTGCGTATCACAGTTTTTTGTTGCTGCTTAGATCAAATTAGCTGTTTTAAATTTATTTCATAAATGAAAAAAATAATTGTGCTGCACCCTGTTGGTAAATCTTTTAACTTTTTAATGCTGAACCAACTTTTTTAGTTAAAACAGCATACTAAATTCCTTAATTCTTTTGAAATATGAATACTCATAATGTTAACATGGGGACTCTAGAGCCACTGGGGCGGAGCCCGAAATGATTTTTGAGATAAGAATATACCACGATTACTATAAAAATACCGGTATGGATCATAAACATAAACAAATGACGTTTTTGGCCCGAAAATAAACATTATTTAACATTGCTTAAATGGAACTGCCAAATCATATGTTCAATGCTATTAGTATAGGATTCGGGCCAACAACGTCATTTTGTTTATGTTTATGATCCATACCGGTATTTTTCTAGTAATCGTGGAATATACCTATATGTTAATCGGTAATGTGAGCTATCATCATGTCAAATTTCTGCCCAATCTGTCCAGTAGTTAATGTGTGATTGAACTTCAAACAAACACACAAACTTTCACATTTATAATATTAGTAAGATAAGATAATATTAGTAGGATGTTAATAATAACGGTATGAAACTTTTAAACTTTTTTATCAAATTTTCATTTCAGTACCTACCTATGTCAGTTTATTCAGCTTCATGTATCATATGGGGATTTTTCCTGCTCAATCAAATGCAGGTTTCAGTTTTTATTGTTTACTGTTCATGATACAAATTTTGTTGTTGTGTGTACTTTTTGTTCAAACTATGGTTAAAGCTTAGAACTATTAAACTAATATTTACCGGGTAGTTCAAACATTGATTCAACATTAAATCTATCATTTAGTTGCCACTAAATTAAATTAGTTAATTTATATAAATCTTTATCAAGTTGATTTTTAAAAGATATAAACGGTGATCAGCAATCTGACAAATAATTTACCCCATTACCTTGTCAACAACCTTTTTATAAGTCACAATAACTTTTGAACAGACATTTTTACAGCGATGGGGGGGTTGCACTATGTTATAAGGAATTATAAGGACCATCACATACTAATTTCAATCAATACAAAATTTTTTTTCAAAAATCTGATTTTCTCTTATTTTATGGGTTTTTTATGGGAAAATAACATAAGTTACAATTACTTTTGAACCGTAATTTTTACAGGAATGGGAGTTCCATCATTTTGTTCTCAATTTATAGGGCTAGAGCTACAACATAGCTAAGTTTTTATCAAAATTGTTCAGGCTATTTTTGATTCCGTCATTTTATAGGTTTTTATGGGAAAATCACCATTAAGAATCAAAATTTAAAAAAAAGTAAAAACACCTGGAAATAGGCTACTATGAATTAGTAACTACATACCAAATTTCATCAAAATCGGACCACAGTTATGTGGTCTGTAGGTCTGTACACATCCACTTATACAGACACACACACATACAAATTGTAAGGACCATAATGATGTACATTGTATTCAGAATATGTGATTCTAAGTTAATGTTTTGTTGAATCTGAATTTAAAATTTTAAATACTTTACTTTAATACATTAATACTTTCTTATGAAATGACGACCATACAATGTAGGTATTTTAGGGAAGGGAAAACAAAGTATTTTGATTGGGAAATTTGGCAATAGTCCTAGAAAGGGGAAGGTTGGATTGGATCATGATAAAAACAATGAGATAAGAACTCAAAAACAAGGTCAAAGTCCTCTCATGGAGATAGACACACTGTTTGATATTGAGAACAGGAGATAGTGACTTGGATAGTGACTACCATTATTGTGTAGTGGCATATCTTAAAGGTAGGTTAAAGTGTTTTTCTTTGTTGTAAACTGTAAAGTATTTTAGAAACCGTGTTTACAATCACATATAAATCAAAAAATTAACAACTTTACTACAGCAATAGTAAATTTTTTTAATGAATTTAAAGCTTTGAAATATTTGTATTATTTTAGACAATTAGTATCAGTCTTTGATTTTGACTACCTTACCCTATGATTATCTGTGTTAGATCACTGATTGGGGCGTCAGAAGAAAATAACGAGCAAACACTACAAATATCTTAACAACACTGCAGATTATTTCTTAATTTATAAATGCGTATAAATTTTATAATTTTTTCAATGTTCAAAAATGAAGTAACTACAGTAGTTTAAGTAAAGTGTAGCCTACCTAACAAAATATCTGATTAGAGGTGTAAATTTTTCTCTACAAATTTAAGACCAAAAATGCATTAATCTGAGAACAAGCCATATTCAAGTGGTAGGCCTAAGCAGCAACTACTGAATAAGCCACTGTTGTACCTAGCATTTATAGTCAAAAACATCTTTCTTGAAAACTTGGCTAACTTATAAGGCGGATGTGATGACATTTTAGCGAATTTCCCTATAGGGAAGTAGCTATAACCGTAGTTGGCATGGTAAGACTTAGGCCCGGGACCAATTTACTTTTTCATTTTGATGTCCCCAGAGGCCAAAAACACCATTTGTTCAAATTTTATATATGTATATATAGATTTATACAGGGTGTTTGTGAACTATCAATTGATAAAATTTGGTTTGAAGGTGTAAAGTGGGATAAACTTTAATGAGTTCGCAAACCAGCATGGGAACGGGGTTTTACTGGGGGTTTTATGGGGTTAAAAGTGGTTTTTCTAATTTTTGACCCTCTAAACACAAAATTTCCCGATTTCTCTCCAGACGTTTTTAAAGAGCTTAAAAAACAAATAATTTAGTATATCAAAGTGTTTTTGTACAATTATTGGTTACGGGGAAAATTCAAAAAATCGTTATTTTAAAATTCCTATGTTATTCTTACGGAGAATGTTGTAAAATGATGTATAGGTCGGCCGCTTAGAAAACGACCTCCTCCAGCATTGGTTTAGCATTAGCGCGCAGGTCGTTTTCTAAGCGGCCGAACTATAGTTTGCTAGTTTATGGATATATTTTGATCAAACTTGGTAAATAAAATAATTTATTTATTTTATACTAAGCTATTATTATTTTACTAAAAAACACACATTTTTACCCTCCCTGTAGCAGCAAGCCTACTCATAAACCAATGTTAATTAAATACATTCAATTAAAAATCAATTCAGGCAAATGGAAATTCGCTTAGTCTGCAGGTTTGATGCGGCGGGGGTATTTATTGATATTGTAGGTTGTGGGAAAATTGGATATATATTATTGTTTTTATAATAATTTCACTGAAGAGCTCCATTTAAATACTTAGAAGTGTGATATTCCCGAATGGGCCTGATGTAATATTTCAAAGATTAGAACAGATCTCAATTTTCAACTTTTTTTGCAAATTGTATTGCGGAACTTGTTGATCCTTAATGTGTTTTTGTTTTTTATAGGACTTTGATGACATTGCATATAGCCTCACAGCCTCAAAATGATACAACTCATCCTGGTCCTGCTTGCTGGTTTGTTGACCACAGTGTATTTATACTTCAGTTACACCTACAAGTACTGGACCAAGAAAGGCATCCTGCAAGAACCACCAATATTCTTGTTTGGTAACATGCTTGATTTAATTCTGGACAAGAGAAATGCTGGAATGATATATACTGCAGTGTATAAGTAAGTATTCTTTCTCCTCTTTAATGAAGTTTTCCATTCAATTAAATCCCTTGTAAGGGATTTTTATGCCTATGTAGAAGTAGGTGTGAGTGAAAACACACCTTTCGTGAATCTTTTATACAATGTGGAGAACAAAAAAGTTATTTAAGCGAATTTACCTATAGCCAGAAAAAAAACTGTGAGTTTGGATACACAGTTCAGTTCACAGTTTAAAAAACCTTTACTTTCTGCATATGAGTTATATACAAATATTCACATGAACCATGCAGGGTTCGTGCGGGGAAAAATACATTTTGTTCAATACAGATTAGCAATCTGAAATCATAGTGTCTATTTTTATTTTCTTCTAGTTATGTCACATAACTTTTCCTACAGTCACCTGACAAATAAGTTGGCTTCCTTGTACTGTTTATAGTACAAAGCCTGCATATTTATAGCCTTTATATTTAGAGCCTGAATATTGCTGCATATTTATACTTTGTCGTACGGTTTATACTTTGGCGCACATCAGGATTCCAACGAAATAACACAAAACAGCGTGGTTCTATTATGCACGTAATCCGTGTACGCTTGGAAATAGGTTGGCAACACTTAAAGATAATAATGAGCAGCTGGTTGACTACTATAACTACGATTTAACCTGTCATTTCGTGTTTATAGTTTATGTTCTCTTTTCGGTATTTCTGAACTTTCTGGACTTTTCTTTTTAACGTTTTTAAAACATTCCTACGATCTTAATAAACAAGAAAATACTTTTAAAGCATTTTTTTAGGCAAGGAAACCACTGCAATTTACAAAAATATACGGAACTATTTTCTCAAGTCCCGGAGCACATTGCTTGCCGAGGAAAACATAGCGGACTGATACGGGGACTACTTTCTCTAGGGCACCTATTTGTGTTGCCAGCTGAACCTAAAAACGTGTTGTATAGTGTTTGAAAGACTAATTATTTATATGCTTTATTGTGACTGTAGGAAAAATTTAATGTGTAACATGAGTGCAAAAGACCTTTGCTGCACTCGAGATCATTCCGCACGAGCCGCAGGCGAGTGCGTAAACGTTGCTCTCGGGTGCAGCAAAGTGCCACTTTGCTCTCTAGTTACACAAATAACTATTTTACAGGGTGAAACGCAAAGTAAAATTGTTGGTATTCATTCATTCATATTAGTTTCCTTGCATCACGCTTTTTTGTTGTTTAATTTTGTTTTTTGTTTCAGTAAATATGAGAATCATGATGCAGTGGGAGTGTATGAGTTTCAAACTCCAAAACTATTAGTGAGAAATCCTGACCTCTTTGAGAAGATTTTAATTGAAGATTTTTCAAGTTTTTCTGACAACGAAATCAAAGTTAGTTTGAAGATTGAACCATTCATGGCTAACAATTCATTTCTTGTGGGTGGAGAAAAGTGAGTAAAATTTTTTGTTTTGCAATAAGTCAAAATTATTGTTGTAATCTTAATCTTGCGGTGTATCTTAATACATTTAACATCTGTGGAAAAACGTACAAAAATGGAATAACAACAATTTTCTTGTTATTCCATTTCTGTAATTCTTCTTAATAAATTGTGAATTGACATATAGTTACTCTACACAGGCTTGTAATTAAAACAATTTATTTAACAGATGGAAGCCAGCTCGAAACGCTTTAATAAATGGACTCACCAAGTCTAAGCTGAAAGACATGTACGAGCTCATGAAACCCACTGCTATTCACCTTAAAAGCTATATTGAAGACAACATGGATCAAGATTTTGAGGTAGGTAGGTAAATTAATGCTTTTGTCCTCTTCATCTATATATTAATAGGCAAGCATGTTTCTTTAAAACCTTTTTTCTCAGCTCGTGTGCATTGTAGAGAAAATCTACGCATACTGTTGGAAAGATATTTTCCTGTAGATGTGCAGAATCCCTTCATAAATTAAGATAGGCTCAAAAAAAGCAAAACAATGAATTTTAAATTTAAAAACTATTAACATGGACTTTATGGGTTGCCATGCTGGTGACAAAATAACAACGCAATATAAACAGAAATTCTAAAACAAATTGAAGGTATTCCAATCACATCTTTTATTTACAAGTAGGGTAAAAATAGAGAAGTCTGGTACATTACATATTTTTGGTTGAGTTTTAAACCACTTGACGACCTCTAGTATATATTAAAACGTGACAGGGTTTCTTTCATTTCATGATTTTGAATCAACCACTTGACGGAGTTTCTTGTGTTGAAAGAAAGATAATTTTGAGACCTATGGAATGTCAGAGCCATAATTTTATTTTAGGGTTTCACTTTTTTTTATTAAGTTTTAATTTTTTTAATGTCTATAGCAGCCAACGCTAACAATTTAAAGTCGTTTCTGTGGTGGTTTAACTGACAGCTGGTTTCTAACTGCCATTAAAATGTTTAAGTTATAAGTTATTTGCTTACAAAAATATTGATCATTGGTGTTTGCATTGATCATTGGTGTTTGCCTACATACTACTGTATTACTCTTTAAAATGTATTTTTCCTACTATAAAGGATCTCCGTTATCAGGAAATGTGTTTTGAACTGTACATTTCAAACACTTGCGCATAATAAAGTTTTGATGTAAATGCAATCTACGTGTTTATGCCATGATATTTTAACTCATTTTTGGGAAATATTTTGTCAGCAAACTATTGCTTAATCGTTTAAGATATAAAGTGGTTATGTAATGATACTTTTTTTCTTGATGTTTAAAAGTGTGTATATGGGAATACCGATATTTTGGTTGTTAATGAAAATGTCAACCAAGGTAGGTCTCTAGAAAACTGTTGAATAAGCTCCAGGGTGTCAGTATAGGAACCAAAATCGATTCATCCCATATCATAACTATCCCAGTATGGTTAAGTATGGTTCTGAAACTTGGGAACTGACCAAATAACCAAAACCCTTATTGCTAAGTTTGGGAAAACCAGTTCAAGATAACGGAGGTTGAGATACAAAAGAACAGAGAGATAAGAGAAATGTATAAATACCCAGATTTATGGGTGCGTTCCAAAAGTAAAAGGCTCGGATAGGCAGGCTATGCTTGGTAGAGAGAAGAAACATCAACTTTTAAAAGTGTGTTCCAAGGAGTAATAAGGTAAACAACCACTTGGAAGACCAAGAATGAAGTGGAAATGCCAAGCTATAAAAGAGACATCTCCAGCCCAAGACCTACATGATAATTACATGTTTCTCCATAAAAGTTTTCAAAACCTTCATAAGAAAATTGATTATGAAGTATAAAAATATATGTTGATGTTTTATCAATGACAGTGACATATTATATTGCTTTACTTTAACTCTTCCAGGGCTAAATTAAATGAAGGGTTGGAGCTTAATTATTTTTTGCAAAAAATTAAAAACTAAAGTGGTTGTGTTTTGTATTTATTTCACTTGAAATAATTCATGGATCATAAAAAGATTTTCCTTGGGGCTGAACTAATTTTTGTACAAAAGTTATGAAGAAAATAAAATTTGATTTGACAGATATATCCGTCTTTAGCCCGCAAAAAATATATGGTGGACGGATATATCCGTCTGCCGCCCTCAGTGATAATCACAAAATATGAACACTGCCAATAATCTTGAGTATTCTTGTGGGCGGCAGACGGAAATATCCGTCAACCTTAGGCTATTCCTTCCCTTGTTTTATTTTTTATCCATAACAATTCTGAAGTAAATCTAAACCACTCAGTTCCGCTCCCATGTCCTCAATCCCATTCCTCACCAAGACTTCCACTACGTAAAGACTGTTCTTCAGGTTCATCATATCCATCACATTCCCTACTATTATTTTCACCGCCAAGTATAAAACTCCTCTCAGACATACTTTTATTAAGCATCTCAATAACATCTTCAAATTTCAGATCGTTTGAATTAGTAACTTTAGCTCAATAACATAAAAATAAAGTACAAAACACAAAAATCACTCACTAACAACCATGTGTGAAGTGGCAGCAATATTTACTTACGCACACTCTATGGTGCAAAATAGCCAAAACAGCTGCGGCAATTATTATTGCCAACCACAAAAACAAAATAACCCATTTATAATACAGTGTAATGTTTATTACCGTATTATAAACATTGTATATCAATTCGTTTTTTGGACGGATATATCCGTCTTTATCCCAGAAAAGAAATTTCTCGGGACGGATATATAAGTTTTCAGCCCAGAAAGTAAACAAAGATTGACAGATATATCCGTCCATAGCCCTGGAAGGAATTATATCTGAATGTTTTCTTCACAGGCTTTAGACTTGGCCCATCTCTTCATGATGACGAATGTTTCAAACACTGTTTATGGGATCGAGAGCAACTGTTTCAAAGACCCTGATGCCATGTATCATAAGATGGTTAAACTTTTTTCCAAAAACTGGCAAAGCCGATGGAAAGTAATGCTTATATTTCATTTTCAACGTCTTAGAGACTTTTTTGGAGTAAAGTAAGTACAATTTTTCACATTTTAATTTATGAAATACAGTAATATCTAAATAAATTCTTAAGATCTTTTTCGGACAACAAACTGTATAAACATTGGCAGGAACTAATCTCAGGTGGCAAACTACAGCATCACAACATCTCCTGGCTACAATTATTTCCATCACTATGATTTGGCTTACAAAGGGGAAAGGTTTGGTCATGGTTGTTTGTAAAAATTTCAAATAAACTTACGACCGTATAAGTTAGATTAAGTAATTAAGTAAGTAAGACTGAAATAATTTATTAGAAAGTAACAATTGGTGTACCTTCCTCTAAAACCCAATAACCAGAATAATCGAAATTCGTTGCTAAGACAACATCAGCTGTCGTTATTGCTACAAAGGTACAGGATGTTGAATCATGTTGGTAACATTAATAGGTACATTAAATGTAGAATAAGATATTCCTTAACCGAGACGGATTCAAGATGTTAAACAATCGCTGAATTCCTGTCTCCCTTGTGTTTTGTAGATCATAAAGCTGTCTTCCAGGAAAAGCTATACTACAGCAATCATTGACAATGTAGCTCATAGTTCAAGACTTTCCTCTACACCCACAAGCCCTATCATATATCATTCCTCGCATTCACATTTCTAATAATCATTCCTACTTAATACTGCTACAGGTGTGACTAAACGTGTAATAAAACAAATCAATTTAGAAAACAAAGAAGTTACAAAGGGTGACAACACCAAATAAGAACTTTGAAAAAACAAAGAACAACACAGTAGTAAAAAAAAGATTTGCAACTTTAATTTACAAGAAAAGAAAATTGAAAATTAAAAGATTGAGTTAATAACAAATTATATGACTTGATTGTTTTACATCTTTATAAATTTAATTATATTTTTTACATTGTGCTAATGGTCCCTGAAGCACACGCACAGACACAGGCACTCTGATCTGCGTTGTAGCCCACAGTAATCTCCTAGATTTTTCCTCTCGTGTCCTCATACTACTGTTCAACTCGGTTTACCTCAACTGGTCGACTAAGTGTAATGTGAACAGAGTGTCTGTGTAGATGATCACCATGGGTACAGGGTAAATTTCCTTTCTTACACCCCCCCTGGTTAACGTCAACCTACCACCGGTTGACAATAAAAATGAGAAAACAACTTAAGGAGATACGCAAAAACATAAATCACGATGGTTGGAATCGAACGGATATCTTGATGTACATTCCGACTCTTTTTCCCCCCTGTTAGATGGTTAAATTTGTAAGTGATTAATTCATCAGCTGATTTATTATTATTAAGTTTGTTAGTAAATATTCTGTTTATGTTGATGTGTTTAAGAATTAAATAAAACGAGAGCACGCCCCGTGGTCGAAAAATCGACCAAAAGTATGTTTTGTGCAAACTTCTCTATTTTCCCCCTACATTGTTAAATTCACATTGGCGACGATGAGTAAACGAACCAACAGAAGAAATAGTTATTTCAACGAAGAAGATAAGTATGAAACTAAAGAAGATACATTACAATCAAAGATAGAAAAGTTCAAATGTCAAAGCTATGACAAGTCTAGTAGGTGGGACGATTATGAAACAAATTTTCTATTGTTATGCAAGGTAAAAGGATTGGGAGAAGACTCTCATAGAGCAGAGAATCGTCGAAGGGATCTTTTGCTTGCGTATGTGGGTCCTACACCATTACGAAAAGTTTCAAACTTTTTACTGCCTTTGAATTAAAGTACATCAAGCTATGTGAGCAGAACTAGTTAATGGTTTCAGGTCAGTATACAAAGCTAGAAAGACTATATTTTCAGCTAGAATGGAGTTTGAAAAATGCATCAGAGAAGATACTGAAAGCCTCTCAGAATTTGTAATACGTTTGAAAAATTTAGCAGAATTTTGCAAGTATGAGAATAAGTTTGATGAAAGACTAATCCGTACTTTGATAAGATGGTTCTACACAACAAAGCAGGAGGTAGGAGATGGAGTGCTAGCTCTTCAAAATGTTCTTTTTAGCTACTAAAACTCGCCTCAGAAAACAACCGGTAGGGCTCCAGCAGAATTGTTTCTCGGTCGTAGGCTACCAACAATTTTTGACAATATGAAACCTAATCTTTGTAAAAAGATGGAAATGAAGCTTTGGAAAGAACAAGGGAGAGGCAACAAGAAAGTTTGAACTTTTGAAGAAGGAGAATATGTGTGGATTAAGAATGAACATGGGAATGGTTGGTCAGCTGGAATGGTGAAAAATAAAAATGGACTGTATTTATATGATGTACTTTGTGGAGGTGCTATAAAAAGAAAGCATGCCGACCAGATGAGACAATGAATGGGAGCTGTAGAATCTGCGTAGAAAGAAAGGGAGGAAAAGTGTTAGATAGTTAAATTTGTAAGTGATTAATTCATCAGCTGATTTATTATTATTAAGTTTGAAAGTAAATATTCTGTTTATGTTGATGTGTTTAAGAATTAAATAAAAATATGGTTCTTTTGTATTTTGAATATCATTTAGTGTAATTCTACACTCCCTTCCTGCCACGCGACGTGGTCTTGAGGATCGGCGCAGTTGCTTGTTTCACGACCCTTCCAGCGACGCGGTAGAATGAGCTGGTGGTGTATAGTTCATAGTCGCTCACGTCTTTTTTCACCCCTTCGAGTTAGTTAATTATTTCATTAATTTTTAATCATTTAAATGTTGTCTGTTTGTTAAGATTTAAATTTTTTATTATTATATATTGAGATTGTAAATTATTTATGCTAGGCAATTTTTTGTTATGCTAGTAGTCTTTTTGAGGGTTTTGAGGTTTTGTGATAAGATTTATTTTAATATTGAGTATGTGGATGAAATATACTGAAATAATTAGTAAGATTGTTACAATTGTTATCCAGCCAAATAAGATGTACATAATTACTCTTCTATCATCTCTACAACTTTCTTTAAGTCAATATTTCTGAGAAAATAACAAGTAAGGAGAAAAATAAGATTTAAAAAAATGTGAGGCGAACAATTTTTTCCGAACATTAAATCTTTTTGAGCGCGGATATCTATGAAACTATGCGTTTTCACTGATAATACACTGAACCAAAGTTGTTGCAAATTTAATAGGCTTTAACTTTTATCATAAAACAATGTAAGCTAGGACACACAGTTTACAAGTTATGAGCAAAAAACCAAGCAAATTAGGGTGTTTGCCACTCCCCCCCCCCCCCCCACGAGGGGCAAAGTGATTTTATTCTCACCTATCATATAGTCATTAGGGGACCTTCCCCAACACATTTCTGAAAAAATTGGGTATACATAGGTTTGTTCCTCTATTTTTCCTATTTTGGACTTATTTGCTTGAAATACTGTAATAGAGCTTGTACAATGTTGTGTGTAGTGAAATAGTATCCAGGAAGTGTGGGAGTAAAGAGAAATGTCGTTGTTAGTTTCATTGGAGGTTTTGTGGGGGGGGGGGAGAATGAGTCTACAAATAGGTGCACACAGGGAATACTTTCATTGGGGCGCAGTCAGACACTGGTTACGCCACTATATGTGGAATCTGCTTAGTGAAGTCCGCTTCTTTAGACTGAAGTGTGATCTATCCACCTACATCTAGGACCTACATAAATCTGGATTATATATTAAGTTATCTTATTACAATTTCAAAATAAATCTTTTACAGAATCCAACTAACTTTATTCTAACTAAGAATAATATAATCTCAAAGTCTCTACGTTAAATGTGTAGGCCCAAACCACTTTTCTATGTCATGTCCTTAAAATTTAATATATATAATATGTATATGTATATATATTCTTTATTTTCTCTCTATCAAATTGACAACTCTTGTTTTTTCAGCTATATACCACAACAAGTGACTGACTTTGTTGAAAGTATGGTAAAACAAGTTGTTGATGTTCGGCTGAAAAATAATATTAAGAGAAATGATTTCCTACATTATTATTTGAATTTAAATAAACCTTGTAAGTAGAAATAAAATAATTATTTGTTACATTTAGTTTGTTTGAAATATTATTACATGTTGACACATAACTTGGTTGTCTTTATTGGTTTATCACCAAAAAAATATTACAAACATCAACTTCTTATTTTGTAAACTTAGCTGTTTGAATCTGAGTAGCTTTCTACACAGTTTAGTTAGCCCCCTTACTACACCTTAGCTGAATATCATTAAAACATAGGTGGTATTCCCAGTTTTGAGAACAAATTATTAATGTTGGTTTACTTTAAGATTGCCAGGTTCTTGAATATTGTAGATTATTATTGGAGCCCAATGTACATTTTGCCACATGTGTATGATCCTCAGGAGCAGAGTTTGTAATCACATCACTTAAAAGCACTAAAAAAACCCCTAATAATATTTATTATCATTATCGGTTTGCAGACAATTAACAGCGCAGGCGTTGGAAACTGATCGCACGAGAGTGGTGCGCAGACCGGAGGCGCAGATTCCAACGCCTGCGCCATTATTCGTCCTCATACCGATAAATAAATAGCATAGTATTATTTTGTGCTTTTAAGTTATGTGATTACAAACTCTGCTCCTATGATGACACACATGTGGCGAAATGTACATTGGGCATTGGGCTTCAATAATCTACAATCTTAAAGAACCTGGCAGTCATAAGGTATACTCCAACATACTTAAACATGCACTTAACAAATAAAATGTAAATACACAGTATAAATAGTCCATCTAATGTATAATAGACTAGATAATATTTTCAGGATGAGTGTAACATAAATAAATAAAAACCCAATTAGAAAATCAAGTTATCTTAGGAGATAATGAATCAGAGAATTTTCTTAGGTGTACTATTTATTTAGATCAAAAGTCACTTTTACATTATTTGTTGAAACCTTTGAAACAGAAAAAAGTAGGTCTATGCATTTACAAATCTTTTTAAATGGTCAGAATGGTAAGTTAAAAATATTTTGGTGAAATAATCATATTTTATACAAACTAAAAAGAAGATGCTCAAAATTATTATGTATTAATTTTTTTAAGTGTAAAATTTGTACAGTAATGCTGTATTCATGTTCACTAATCTATTGCTACTATTTTTACAGTGGAAGATAAAATAACACAGATAATTCGCAATGGTGTAACATTTTTTATTGGGGGGTTTGATACTTCCTCTGTCCCCTCTTCAAATTTGATGCATGAACTTGCTTTAAATCCTTCAATCCAAGAAAATCTTTACCAAGAACTGTTTGAGGCGTATCAGGGGAAAACTGACCTGGATTATGATACACTGATGAATTTACCTCTACTAGATAGAGCTTTCAAAGGTATACTGTAATAAATGTGGTTATTTTGTAACAGTTAGAATATAGGCTACTGTAGTAGGAACGCAGGACCAATCTAAAGACTAGATTTGGTAGCAATACCGGATGAGTATTGTTGTTCCCTCTTGCAAGACTAAATCGACAAGTACGGTAAACACAAATCAGCTGAGTAAAGTATGATGTTTTTCACCATAGGTACTATAAACAAAACAATATAAAACTGTTAAAATCCGCCATGTTTCTAGAGACTTAACAATCACTTTTCTGACAGGTTACCGTTGTAGCAGGTACCGTATGCTAGGTACCATATGTAGACACAGTGTGCATATTAATCAACAAATATCTCCAAAATGTGGTGTCTGGCAAAATTAATTACCATACAATTACAAATTCAAATTCTTTATTAACTCATTACATCTTTTTTGTAGTACAATGTACATAGGAGTACAATGTAGATAGGAGTTTTGTGAACATTCATAAGGTATAATAAAACTAATTACAATTAAAACTTTCAAAAAGTGATGGTGATTCAAGTAAAATAATTTTAAGTAAAATAACTACCTTAAGCTACAGTACATGAAGAAATACCAATCTGGTATACAGGGTGTTTGTGAACTCTCTCAAAAAAATTCACAGGATTATTCCTTGGGTTAATACATGAATATTTTACATTATAAACATGGGTCGCCGGAGCCTCGTTTTCTGTCTGTCTGTCTGTATGTGTTTTTTATAAATAACTTTATAACTCGAGTTTGAATCGAGGTACAAACTTTAAATTTGACACACTTGTGTATTTTACCGTGTTAAACAAACATGCAAAATTTCATTTCGTTGACTGTAACCGTTTCAAAATGGCGGCCATCTAAAATCTTTGACCTCAAATTACATGAAAACCACTAGAGTTACAAAAAAAATCACAAGAATAACAAAATGTGGGAAATTTTATGCCAAATCAAATGACACCTAGATCTTAAAGATCGGACAACAAACAGCTGAGTTATAAACTTTTTAAATAATTAATAATTTCTTTACTGGCTTTTAATTGTTATTGTTTATTCTTTAAAATCATCTGATACAGAGTACATTACGTAACCTTAAACAGATTTCAATAGTTAAGGTAAAAATAGGACACTTAATACATTTACCATCTAGTAAAAAACTAAATGTTGTTGTTAGGGGAAACCAGCTGTCTTACATTGTTGTAACAATTTAGAAATGATCAGATGATTTTAAAGAATAGACAATAACAATTAATATCCAGTAAAGAAATTATTAATTATTAAAAAAATTAATAACTCAAAATAATCATGTGATCATCATCTCAAAATCATATGTCCAACCAGCTGTCTTACATTGTTGTGACAATTTAAAAAGGATCAGATGATTTTAAAGAATAAACAATAACAATTAAAAGCCAGTAAAGAAATTATAAATTTTTTTTAAAGTTTATAACTCAGCTGTTTGTTGTCCGATCTTTAAGATCTAGGTGTCATTTGATTTGGCATAAAATTTCCCACATTTTGTTATTCTTGTGTTTTTTTTTGTAACTCTAGTGGTTTTCATGTAATTTGAGGTCAAAGATTTTAGATGGCCGCCATTTTGAAACGGCTATAGTCAACGAAATGAAATTTTGCATGTTTGTGTAACACGGTAAAATACACAAGTGTGTCAAATTTAAAGTTTGTACCTCGATTCAAACTCGAGTTATAAAGTTATTTATAAAAAAACACATACAGACAGACAGACAGAAAACGAGGCTCCGGCGACCCATGTTTATAATGTAAAATATTCATGTATTAACCCAAGGAATAATCCTGTGAATTTTTTCGAGAGAGTTCACAAACACCCTGTATATCAGGTCAGGATATGATAGGCTATTGTCCTATGCGTATGATATGACTACAGACAGGGATTTTTTTAACAGTGGTATAATCTACTTTTCCGAATCTATCTATCTATCTTATCTATATATTAATTTGAAACTGTTTTTCTTTGTGACAGCTAATTTGAGAGAACGGCTGGGCGTAGAAACTCGGTAGGGGTGTCTAAAGAAAGGTCTTGGTCTGTAGATGAGCCATCAAAAAAGAAACGTGGTAAATTCCCTCGGAGCTCTGCCCCAGTGGCCTTTAAATTCCCATTCCATGTTATTCTTATGGAGGAAAAACAGGGGTTTTGTCACAGCTAATTTGAGAGAACGGCTGAGTGTAGAAACTTGGTAGGGGTGTCTAAAGAAAGGTATCGGTCTGTAGATGAGCGCTCAAAAGAGAAACGAGGTAAATTTCCTTGGGGCTCTGCCCCAGAGGCCTTTAAAGTTCACTCAGCAGTTTTATTTACATTACGACCATATGGATAATTTTACACTACTTTTAATGAACCAGCTGTTAATATTAAAATTGTTACACATTATTATTTATGATTTTGAATTGATTCTCCACTACATGGCAAGTTTTTTATAGTTTCAACAAAATGATGAATTTATGATATGTTTTCAATGTGTTGTTAAAAAATCTACGCTTTATTGCTCTAAAAAAAATGGAATGATGAAATCAGTGCATATCAGTTTCAAAGGAACATATAATTAAGCGGAGCGAGCGAAGCTCTTATACGTCGACTCTTATGCATTTCGTAATACGCAAACTCCTCCTAGACGGCTGAATCAATCGTTTTCAAATTTTGCATGGTGATAAAGACCATATCGGTGAGTGCCAACATCTATATGGCGTTAAAAAAGTCTCTCAGGAATCCACCCCACTGAGTCTCAAAGTTTCAATGTAATCCTTATGGAAGCAGTATTTGACACATAAACAAATACGTATGATCAGCTGTTGACTTTTGAATGCAGTAGATAAAGAAATAGCCAATAGCATTATTCTACAGATATTAGAACAAAAACGGTATGGATCATAAAATAATCAAATGACGACACTAGCTTGAGGTCGGTGACGTAGGAAGTGGTGAAGGAAGTAGTAAAGGTGAGCAGTCTGGAGTGTGGAAACTGTTTATGACGATTAGATTTAGGTACCTGCATTCCAAAAATTCTATGGGAAGGGAGGAAAACGGGTCCGCGAAGTAGGAAGTGGTGAAGGAAGTAGTAAAGGCGAGCTGTTCGGGGTATGGGATATATTTATGACGATTAGATTAAGGTATCTACAATCCTAAAATGCTATGGGAAGGGAGGAAAATAGGTCCGCGATGTAGGACGTGGTGAAGGAAGTAGTCCAGGCGAGCTGTCCGGAGTGTGGGAACTGTTTATGACGATTAGATTAAGGTATCTGCAATCCTAAAATGCTATGGAAAGGGATAGAAACAGGTCCGTGACGTAGGAAGTGATGAAGGAAGAAGTAAAGGCGAATTGTCCGGAGTGTGGGATTTGTTTATGACCAATAGATTAAGGTATTTGCAATCCAATAATGCTAAGGGAAGAAGGAAAACAGGTCCGCGACGTAGGAAGTGGTCAAGGCGAGCTGTCCGGGTTGTGGAAACTGTTTATGACAATTATATTAAGGTATCTACAATCATAAAATGGTATGGGAAGGGAGGAAAACAGGTCCGCGATGTAGGAAGTGGTGAAGGAAGTACTCAAGGCGAGCTGTCCGGAGCGTGGGAACTGTTTATGACGATTAAATTAGGGTATCTGCAATCTTAAAATGCTATGGAAAGGGAGGGAAACAGGTCCGTGACTTAGGAAGTGGTGAAGGAAGTAGTAAAGGCAAGTTGTCCGGAGTGTGGGATTTGTTCATGACGAATAGATTAAGGTATTTTCAATCCAATAATGCTAAGGGAAGGGAGGAAAACAGGTCCGCGATGTAGGACGTGGTGAAGGAAGTATGACGTTTATGACGATTAAATTAGGGTATCCGCAATCTTAAAATGCTATGGAAAGGGAGGAAAACAGGTCCGCGACGTTATAAGAGGTGAAGGAAGTAGTAAGATAAGCAGTGTGGAGTGTGGGAACTAGAAACCGTTTGTAGCAGTTAGATTAATTTATCTGCAATGCTGAAATGCTATGAGAAGGGATGAAAGCGTGCCCACGACATAGACAATGGTGAAAGAAGTAGTAAAGGCTAGCAGTGCGGAGTGTGGGCAATGTTTGTGGCAATTAGATTAACGTATCTAAAATACTGAAATGCTATGAAATGTGATGAAAACAGGTCCACGATGTAGGAAGTGGCTTAGGAAGTAGTAAAGTATGAGCATAGTGTAAGAACCATCTGTGGCAGTTAGACTAATGTATCTTCAATCCTAAAATGCTATGAGAAGGGAAGGAAACAGGTCTATGACGTAGGAAATGGTGAAGGAAGTAGTAAGGCTTGCAGTGCAGAGTGTGGGAACTGTCTTTGGCAATTAAATTAATGTATCTGCAATCCTAAAGTGCTATGGGAAGAGAGGGAAACAGGTCCACGACGTAGGGTGTGGTGGAAGTAGTAAAGGTGAGCAATGTTGAGTGTGGGAATGGATTAATGTATCTGCAATGCTAAAATGCTATGGGAAGGGACTGTAGACCGTAGGCTAAAATGATTACGAAGCATGAATCGATACATATTTCGATACATGCAATCGTTTACAATAGAAATTTACGACTGAGTTGACAACAGCTGATTTTTACTCCATAGAGGCTAAAAACAATTTTTACTCCCTAAAGAGTAAGTAAAAATGCTACTTTAGAGCCGCAACGCATGAACTAAAAACGACTGTTTTTACTGCAGTATGACAAAGACAATATAATATGAACCCTTGATGACTCCGCTCAATTTAGTGGATGCCTCTGCGAACGCCACCTAGTTATTCCTTATCGGGTTAGCTTATAGATATTGTAAGGTTCAAGAATATTATTAAATTAAAGAAAGAAGACCAGAAATTCATTAATTGGTATAAAAGTTCTCGATAATCGGGTTGAAAATTGTGTCATAGATGAGGAGAATGAGAGCTGTGTACATGTTTTGGAATAGACTAACTACGGAGTATGTTTCATCTATGGTTTTGGTGAAGTAGGTAAATTAATGTCAATTCAAGTATTTAAAAAATAAGTACAGGGTTTTTACTTTGATGTACACATCTAGCTAGGTCGAACAACGCATCTAAACCTCACTACATACAAAACATTCGGAAACACAACAGTGCCATCACATCTCATCGCATTTGCATAATTTGTTACCAAGGCTGGACTAGGTTATGGATTTGGTTCCGCAAATGTTCAAGGTTTTTGGTCAAATTTCCTACAATTATGGTTCATTCCATCCATGAAATACATGCACAGCTTTATATGATTGATATGGCCATTGAAAAACTACCCCATAAGTTAATAAATTAGCAAGTAAGTACAGGATGATTAAATACATGGGTCGATGTGGCAAGAGAAGGAATTAAAATTGCTTGGATTGAAGTAAGAATGTTACTACTTTCTGGAGAATCAGATATTTTTATCAAATACAAAAAAGGAAATAGATTTATCATGCCTCCCGCTGATAAAATTCTGTATTTTTATGACCAAAGATGGTGATTCACTAATACAATCCAAATACGATCTGAATGATTTTCCCAAAGCAGATAGAACCAGTTATTTTAGTAATATTGACTCTTTCCGTCAGATGACAGACCAATTATATGAACTCCTTTCCCCATATAGTGGAAGAGGCTTTAACATGAACAAAATTCATGAACAAGAAACAATTGTAAGACTCCTGAAAAGCCTTTTGGGCAACCTAAAGCCGATGAAAGGACAGAAAATATTGAATTCAACGAATTCATCAACCACGTTTTTTAAGGTACACTATCGTCTTACTCATAATTATGTTTATCCTCCCTAAGATTTTAATAACTTCACTCTATCCATCGCAGTTAGCTGAATTTACGTAAAACCTCAAGAGTAACCGTCGATTTCAACGGGTTCACCTAGTATACCGTTTTTTACCGTTAACACTACACTACTCCTCCCTTATTTGTGGACCAATTTTAACGTTTTAGGTGTCAAAAGATTCGTCTCAATTTGTAGTTTTGCAATAAAGTTTTAGAATTTAAAAATTCTTACTCTTATGGGCGCAAGGCGCACTAATAGATTGACTTTTTCCCATAAGAGTTACACAGAAAAAATTTAAAAAAAGAAGCTGTTGATAAAAAGAAACTCAGTGTAGGTAGCTTTTTTGTTTCTACATGAAGAATATGCCTATACACATGGTGGTAAAGTAAACCTGCCTAATGTCAGATCAAATGATTACATGCAAGAAATGTTTACAGGCATGGTGGAAGGAAAATACATAGGTGTGCTCCTCCCGTCATATTCTGACGTCACTCAGATTGCAAACACCATTTTACCATCTAGAAAAATTGTAAAAACAATAACAATCAAATCAAAACAAATATATACTTATATGGCAATACAAGCACCTAGGTGATTTTTGTTTGCAGTCTGGGTGACGTCAGCATATGACGGGAATAGCACACTTATGTATTTCCCTTCCACCGTGGTTTACAGGTAACACTTACAGATAAAAATAATATAAGAGAAAATTAAAATTGTTATCAATAGCATTGTATCTTATACTAGAGTTATTTTACCTATTTGGACAAATAAATGCATCATACTTTCAAGCTTTAAAGCATTGGGACAGGTATTAAGAGAAACTCTACTGAACAATGTGAGAATGTGCTGGTACTGGGCATACTCTGACTGACATATGACACATTAAAAGACGTTACAGTTGACCAATTTCCAGGTGTTAGTGCTATATACAAAGCACATGATGGCTCACCAGTGTGTAACCCAGAGTTTGTTGTGTACCTCAAAAATGGTACACATTAAATGGTCGATATCACCCCACTTTTCAGGATTCCCATATGGAGAAAGTCCTATGGTTTAGAGGGATGTCTCAAATCAAAGAAATAAAATGACCCAACTTGAATTCACTTCACACAGATTATCAGTGAGGCAACAATGTCTTCAGTTCTCCATGCTGGAAAAACTTTGTTGCAACGTATTTTAGACATGTTCACTCGAATTGAAGGAGAGTGTTTAGCATTCATTTAAAAGTAATCATGTAAAACAAATTGAGAGCAGAAATTTATGTGAACCTTCATCATGCAGTTTGAGATATTAAAAATCAATTTTTGAAAGTTTTAAAACTGTAAGAATAATACAGCTGATACAGTTACTCTTATTTAAGCACAAAGCTTTCCTCAACGTTGTTTCATACTATGCGGCTCATCGAGCCGCACGGGTTCCATATTTTAAATAATATGTCATTAAATACAAGAATTGAGGTTCGTGATTAAATTCTAAAACCTTATTGCAAAACTACAAATTGAGACAATTTTTTTGACACCTCAAACGTTAAAATTGGTCCACAAATAAGGGAGGAGTAGTGTTAACAAAAACGGCTTCACGTATTATATATATAGATACTAGTGCACCTGTTGCTCGAATTTGTGCAATTGCTAAGTATTACAGGCGTTATTTCAAAACTAATAACAGTCATAATTTCCGATGACTTAAAAAAAGTCTACTCAAAGATGATGTTATCAATCACTCCACTCTAGTTATCGAAACTGAAAACCAACTCACTCTGAAAACAAATGCTCACTCCACTCCAGTTTATTGAAACTAAAAACTAAATCACTCTGAAAACAAACTCTCTTGTGTGTAGGGTATTATGATCAGCTGCAATTAATACAAATTATTCGTCTGTTAAGTACGGTAAACAAAATCTTTCCTTCATACATTGGGATTTTGATGGCCTGTGGGGCAAAGTCCGAGGACATTTATTGCAGGAATTGTTGAAAGGGGGGGTCTACACAACAAATACTTAATTATGACACCTCGTTTGTAAAAATCCTTCCTTTATTAACAGAGGAGTAGTGTTTTGTAGAAATCGCCTTCACGTATTATATATAAGGATATATATGTATATAGATGCATCACCCGTTCATTTGATCTCATTATAGAAGTTTGCATTACGATAAGGATATTAGTTTTGATTCTGCCACACAGTTTAATGCAAATACACAAGAAATTTTCATTAAAATGGGCAATAAGTATGATTGAAATTTGCCTGTGTATTCTATGATAATTTAATCCATAGTAAGTGTGTGTAACTGATTTTTTTTTTAAGTAGACTCACATTATATATTCTATTAAGTATTTGTGCCCTAAGTATTGTATGTAATCTGTTTAATAGACAAGTTTGATAAACATACAATTGTCATTAAAACACAAATCCCTGTTTAACCCTCCTGATCAAGTCACTTGTTTGCTAAAATGTTCATCCCATAATCTGCTTGATATGTATGACATTTTTATCAGTTCAGGTCATTTATTTATTTTGTATGTTTATTGTTAGAGGTTCTAAGGAAGTATCCTGTGCTGTTTAACTCGGGTAAGGTGTGCACAAAACCAACCACCCTTGAGATTGATGGAAGAACAATCAAAATATCTAAAGGAACTACGGTAAGAATTGCTGATTATGAATACATTTTTGCGGCTAAACTTAATATAGTTGCAAATAATTTTAAAATCATCCTAGAAACAATTATAACTATAGTTTCTTAGTAGATAAGTAGACAAGATAGTGTTTCAGTAACATGAATATGTACTCTTAATCTAAATATTACTTATTTATTTAACAAAGTGGACTCTCACTAGTACTGCCCTATATTGTAAACTAGTTATTGCTGAATTAGTGAAATACCCTAGTAGCACAAATATGTATTTTATAAATATTTTATATATTTAAAGTTGTATTTGATAGAACCTCGAATAAAATATATATATAATATATCTTTAATAATAGTTTGATATATTCAAATATATATTTTAAATATTACCAAAAAGCAATGCAAAATATAAATTAAATATAAGTTTTGAATATATAAAATAGATTCATAATATCTATTGATAAAACAAGTATAGAATCTATAATATACATATTTTATATGTATATTTTTCCTATTAAATATTTAAAAAAATTATGTGTTGAGAATATTTTTAATATATATATAAAATATTTTGGAAACTATATTATATATTTAAATTATTTATAAATATATTTTGAAACACGTCAGATATTTTTTTAATAAGATAATATTATATTTGTAGAATATATAGCCTATAATCTTTTATAATTAGCAAATAAATAATTTGCATCTTTTTGTTTTTTATAGTGTCTATCAATTTATACATGCATTTTTTGTATGATAATTGCTATTTTGAAAGCGTTAAAATTAAGTTAATAAAAATACGTACTCTGAATGGTGTCACTCTATCATACACGTAAAGACAAAAATAGCATATAGTTAAGAGGCAGTATACATGTTCGTCAGCTACATTTGGGTCAAACGAAAAAAAGTGTTGATGGGTTTTATTTTTTTAATTGCAATATGTGACAATGAATGTGATCATAGAAATCTCGAATGATTGGCTAGAAAAGGGTGCTAGTGACTGCCGACCTTTTAAGAAACTAATTACGGTTGTATATGACGTTCTAAAAATAATTATTTGATTTACATATACCATAAATTACATAATATTTGTCAAAGTATTTAAATTAATTTTTGTAGTTTACTGTATTTGATTTCGTGGAGACTACTCACTATTCACTACAGCACTATTCAACTCAACTACTTGATGCCAAAACAGATTAACAGAATCATATTATACTGTAGTATCAAAAATATTTCAAGTATTGCAACCATTGCAACTGAGGGCCACTCTTTCACGTCTTGAAAACTAATGCTAACAAAACAGTCACAAGTAGCTCAGAGGTAAGGTTGGAGGCTCATAAGTCGAAGGACCCAGGTTCGAGACCCACCTCGACTGAAAAAATTTTATCCAGTAATTTTTTCAAAATTTGTTTTTATGAACTATTTAATCAATTTACTCAACTGATAATTGTGTTTTTCATACTAAATCTTTATTATTTTGTGTTTTTATGTTTAGGCCCCATGGGATGTTTGGAAGAGATATTAAATACATTTTTTATTTAAATATTATTCACTAAAATATATTATTGGAACATATTTTTTAAATATTTAATAGATTTAAAAACATATTATATATATATTTAATATATTTTAAATATTATATAAAATTGACATTAATACACACTTGAGATATATAAAATAGATTTTAAATATATTTATTCATATGTATTTAATATATATTTGTGCTACTAGGGTAAGTAGTATTATTTCATCAACTTTATATTTAATTTATCTTTTTTAATTAATCTTGGCCTCTTTTTGCTTAAGAGTCTTCTTCACCCCTGTGAAAACAATAAAAACATGCCTTGGACGTCCCTCGCTCCGGATGGAATGTGTGAAGATATAATGTTAAAACCTTTTTATCTTACAGATTAATGTAGGTTCTCTAGGGCCCTCATACATGATATATCCAAGAAAATCAATAGTATAAGTATAAAGAAAACTTAAAGTAATGTAAATTGAGTCACTTTTAAACACTTATAAAACTAATTATTTTTTTAATTTTCAACCTTTTGAGGTATAAGAGCTCTAATATAACTAGTCAACTACATTGATACCAAATTTCAAGAATATCTGTTGAAAAATGGCCTCCAAAACGGGGGACGAAATTAACATGTTTTGTCGGAGGCTTCTTCACTACTAGCCTTTTTTACAAAACTTGGCTCAGGCGGCAGATGAATCACCGACTACATGGTAACAAACACCGTCTATTTAGTAGTTGTGTGTTTTTGATGTTTTCATAATGGCGCGCATAATGACTCCGCGCTACCCTCCCGTCTACAACACCTTCCCCCCAAGGCCATATCCCCAAAACGCAGGGTGATGAAGACTCTTAATATCCTTTATTAGTTGGTGAACAACTAACATACTGTACCGTACATATTGTAACATATTTGTACATATTGTAGGGCCTACTAACCATTGTACCGTATTCCTTGGACAAATGAAATTAAATATCTTCTCTCCTTATTAATATTTTCTAAATGTTTTGGATTTTCACGTTTGTGTTAAAGCTGATGTATGGAATTATCTTCCCATACAACAGACAAACACCAACCTTCACAACTTCAAGCGCTGTGTCGCATCTATCTAACTCTAAGCAAAAGCCACTACGGTACTGGACTGGACAATACAGACACATAGTGACATGACAATTTGTATAAATAGATTATACATTATATCCCTGACTGTTGTGCATGGGCTTATCGTATGGCTGGATTGTTTAGAGCGTATTTCACATGCACGGTTGTGGCAGGTGATGATCCCAGTGTATGCTGTACATCATGACCCTCAGCACTATATTGACCCAGAGGTGTTTGATCCAGAAAGATTTACTCCGGAAGGTATAAACTCCCGTCATCCTCTCACTTGGCTGCCATTTGGAGCCGGCCCCCGCATTTGTGCTGGTTTGTATTACCTACTTTAATAATATTTTTGATCTAAATTATCTTGATATCTTCAATCATTTCAAATAGGTAAATGATTCTGGTCTTTTTGGCTAGAAATTATATAATTCAAATTATCAGGCTAAAAAGTTTCTTATTGTTTTTATCAAAACTTAAATTCATTTTGTAGCCCCTGAACTGTGAGTTAGCCTATTATAAGGTACCTACGTACCTTTGTAATGTCAACAGCCCAATTTCAAACTTACAACATGTTACACCTACAGACATTGTCAAGGGATCTTTTGTGTATTTATTTGAATACTAGCTGTACCCACGGGCTTTGCCCCGTTTAACTTCATAAGTATTCGCATGGCTCAATCATGTCCCGGTTGAAGTTCGTTCGCTACGCTCACTCACCTTTAGGTTGGAGCTCGTTCGCTGCGCTCACTTGTTTTCAGGTTAGCTCGTTCGCTACGCTTACTCGCCTCTGGGTTGATGCTCGTTCGCTACGCTCACTCACCTTTTGGTTGCAAATTAGCTGTTGTCACAAATTTTAAAAAGTCATCCCTTTTATTGTATAAAATACTTTGATAAAGGTTTTTATGTTTTAATATTAACATTGGAGAATTTAAACGTTGTTAAGTGCACAGGTGTGCTGCGATTGGGGTTTAATACATTTGGACTTCTTCAAAAGTAAAATAGTTTTCTGTGCTGCACTCTGTAGAAACACTGTGGCACTATTTCAAATCATGACTAATGCTAATACAGAATGTTGTAATTATTCAAACCTACAAAACAGTTGGTGAAAGTAAACATCTGCTTTTAAATTATATTTATTTGTAAACATTGTAGATCAAAAAGTCTGACATTGGCCCACTTAAAACCCTCTGGGGCTTAGCCCTTTTGACAGATCAGCACCAAACTTCACTCGAACCATCCTTGAAAGATGCTTAATAATGCCTGAAAGTTTCATTACAATCTGTCAAGCGGTTTCGGAGTCCATAACGTATATACATATATACACACACACATACATAGTTCCTCTTTTATAGATATAGATTGAAGAGTCTATAGTTTGATGAAACATTCTTGGCAAGGAGGTTACTTGACAATGCCTGAATAGGCTAAACATGTTGTGATTGTTACTACAACTTATAGTTGAACTGTTGACTTACCTTATAATGGTAAAACTTTTATTTGCTTGTTCATGATATGTATGTTGATATAATGAAGCAATTAATGATTTTATCTAATATATAAAATTCTCGTATCACAGTGTTTGTCTGCAAACTCCTCCGGAACGACTTCACCGATCGTTATGAAATTTGGTGTGTAAATTCTGTAGGTATGCGAATCGGACGTAAACTATTTCCCGTTTCGAAATTCTTAACCCTTTGAGTGCCAACGTCCGGGGAACCGGACGTTTTTAAAACGTGCCAAAAGTGCCGACGTCCGGCCGCCCGGACGTTTTTAGAACGAGCCAAAAGTGCCAACGTCCGGCTGACCGGACGTCTCGTAATGATCGGACACTTGTCATAACAACCGAATGGATACTCGGATTCTTTTAACCCATATATTAACATTGAGTCGAAAGTTACTAGATGCGATACATCGATTTTCGTTGGTCGAAATATCGAAAATTCGATTTTTACGAAATTTTAACCTAAAAATCGCCAGATTGCGCTCGGCATTTTTAGCGCGACCTTCGGGAAAAATCATCGGCATTTTTTGAGCGTTACTTTTATTTCTCGCCTGGCACTCTAAGGGTTAAAAGGGCTCCGCCCCAGTGGCTCTGGAGTTTCCCATGTTAACCTTATGAGAAATGGAATTAATGAATCTTAACAGCTGTTTCAATTAAACAAGTTGGTTCTGTTCTATGATGTTCAATAGCATTAAAGTTACAAGGATTACCAACAGGGTGCAGCACTATTATTTCTTTTACATTTATGACAACAGCTAATTTGCAACCAAAAGGTGAGTGAGCGTAGCGAACGAACTTCAACCTGGAGGCGAGTGAGCGTAGCGAACAAGCTAACCTGAAGGCAAGTGAGCGCAGCGAACGAGCTCCAACCTAAAGGTGAGTGAGCGTAGCGAACGAGCTCCAACCCAAAGGTGAGTGAGCGTAGCGAACGAACTTCAACCAGGACGTGATTGAGCGATGCGAACGAGATCATCTTGAAAATTAAACGTAACGGTACTTTCTTTCCATCGGTCTGTCTTAGGGGAAACCTATAACTTAGGCGATACGAAGTTCGCCGGGTCAGCTAGTATTTCCATATAATATTTCAAACACACAGTTACGATATACTCATATTAAATTGACTTTTTACAGGAATTAACTTTGGACTCCTTCAAGCAAAACTATTCTTGGCGACTATTGTGTACAATTTCAAGATTGAAAAAACTACCAAAACACCACAAAAATTAACTTGTAAGACATCATCATATTTCTTCTTACCAGAAGAAAAGCAATGGATCCGTCTTATAAAACGTTGAAAGGTGCTCAGTGTGGAAGAAGTAGCAATGTATCACTAGCCAGTGTTAAGAGTTTATGCTTTTGTTTTGTTATTAAAGAGGATTAGAACATGTACTGACACTATAATTTTTTTCACATTTTTTTCCTAAACTGTTGAGTATAATACACATATATGCTATCAAAGTACTGGGTATTTGAAAATGAATCATCCAGTTCCTAACAATCATGGACAACAATCATCAGCGATTGATCCATGAAGAAGAATAAGATTCATTAAAATAGTAAAACAGTCCACCCACAAACTCACAAGATCTAGACAAGAAAGAAAGTGTAAGTAATGAGGAGATAAAACCCTTGGAATGTTGAATGAACATCCTGATATGTATATTTGCAAATTGCTTTGAGCATCAAAAAGGAATGTTTTGAAGAAGTGTGTATAATCAATAGAGAGATCTTTTAGCAGATGCCTCTGTGAACACAACATATTACTGTACTGTATTTTAGCTATATTTTTAGAGAATTAGCCCTTTTTCTAGGGAAAAAGCTGTTATCATACAGTGCATGGTCTGACTTAGACCCGGGGCTGATTTACTTTTTTTCATTTTGATGTCACCAGAGCCATTAAACACTATTCGTTCAAATTTTTGTATCCAAACAAATAGTATCCGTGAACAAAATTACTAAACCAATTTTGATCTGATTTTGATAAAATTTGGCGTGAATGTGTAGGGTTGGATGACATTGATATAGTTTTGAACCCATCAGCAAGTTCAGGTTATGGGAAAAAGGTGTTAAAGAGTTTCCAAAGTTTTCAAAAACCTGTTTTTCCAAATGTTTACTTTTTAAAACTTGTTTAAACATGAAAATTCTCATTTTTCATTACAGCCATTGTGTAGAGCTTAAAAACAAATGTTGTATTTTGAAGTATGATTGTACAATTAACGGTTACAAAGAAAATAAAAAAAATGTCTAATCATAATCCCCATGTTATTCTTATAGAAAAAAGTAAAAGATCACAGTTTTTTTTTATTTTTATTCATGCAGATATAATTTCAAACAATTTATTTATTTAAACTATTATTACCCATGAGAAAAACAATTCCAAGACCAAGTGTTGCCACAGTCAGTGCTAATCCACAGGTAAAGTAGCTGTTAGTGAGGTGTCAAGTGCCGTTAAGTCCCAGTAGGTATCCTGTAGTAACCTTGACCTCTAAGGATCTGAGCAGCAACAGATGTTCAACAATGCTCAGATCAGCTGGCGAGCAGTCCTGTCCAAGAATCATTATTGCTTGCCTCCCTACTGTTCAGTCAGTTTCAGCTGAGCCTCTCAATAAAAAGGTGAGTAACTTCATATTTTATTTACTGTTACCAATTTAGTATTGGATTTGAATTGATTAGTATTTATTTGTTTTTAAATTGATGGATCCTTCCTTTTACTCTACTCTACACTTTTTACTTGAAGTGTACTTTGATGTACCTACTTAGTTTCAATAAAATGTTAATGTTATTGTTTCTTATTAACTAAACATACATTCACGTAACATTTTTGTTTTAAATAAAATCAGAATAGACATGATACAACTGTTGAACCACGCTTTGTACCTCAGTGTTCATATCACACAAAATTACATGTCATATTAATTTGTTAACTTTTTTATTTAACTAGAGAAAATTTGTTTTGAAAAAATAGATATCGCTTATCAAAACAAAGCAATAGTGTTATGCCTTTCATCTTAAAACACTTAATTTTGTGAATTGACACAAAATACTGGTGAAATACGTCCGCCGCCGCAAACCTGCAGACTAAGAGAATTTTCAATTGCCTGATTTTATTTACAATTAAAAAACCCTTAAAAATATCACATTTATTCGCATTCTAAATAGCTAATTTAACGAGTACTTAGGTTTGCTGCAACAGAGCAAAATACGAGGCTTGTCCAGAAAGTAATTACCGTTTTGGAAAAAAGTACACGGATAATTTTTTTTTTTCGACTATTTTTTTTTTACAAGAAAGAGGATATCTTAATCTAGTTTCTACCATTTTTTAGACATTTGTCGTAGCGAGTTTTTTTAGGGTTTCACAATATCGTTCCGCATTGATTGTTTCCTCTCTGGGTAGAATATCAACAAGCAGAAGGCCCTTTCTGTCCCAGAACTATGATTTTTCTTTTAGCCAAAGTTGTTTTGACCTAATGATTTTTGGGGGATCGTGATTGTCTCCGTTTCATTACTGTTGTTTGGATTCTGATGGAGTGCCTTCATCACTGTAACGGTTGAGAAATGTCAGGCACTGGGGCCAAGTTGCTTCTTTTTGTGTTCATCCGTAAGCGTTTTTGGAACCCAGCGAGAACACATCTTGCCAAAATTCAAGCGATTAACCACAATATCATGCAAAAGAGATTTTGAAATTTGTGGGAATTCATCAGAAAGCATTCTTATGGTGAAACGTCTGTTTTCACGAATTTTTTCATTCTTTTTTTCAACCAATTCCTGACTCACAACAGATGGCCCCCCGCTGCGAGCCTCATCATGAACATTATCGGTTCACCCATCATTAAATTTCCAAACCCATTTTCTTACCATTCCATCACTTATATCATATCTTTTTCTCCATAAACTTCAGTAAGTCGGCAAAGAATTTCAGCAGGCTTCACGTTCCTTGCGTTTGAATTCATATTACAGAACGCACCTCACAGTCTGCGGGATCAGAAATTGTTTCCAACATTTTGAGTTCACACTAACTAATGTAAAAACAACACAATTATGCCCTAATTGCGTCAGCTGTTCAACAATGAACCAAGGAGACTAACATTGTTGTTAGCGCTGTGCCGGCGGTAGAACGAAACAGTACTTACTTTCTGGACAAGCCTCGTACGAACATAAAGTGTTTTTTTTTGTGAAATGTTTAGTATAAAATAAATGCATTTTTCAAATTTGATCAAAACATGTTCATTGATAGGCAAACTAAAACAGTTTATTTATTCTTCATGAAAATAACATGGGGATTTTAAAATTCAAATTTTTTGGATAGTAATGATAATATTCAACATACTAAATTATTTGTGTATTAAGCTTAGGGTATTAAAAGAAATTGCAAAGTTGTATGTTTTTAGGGTGAAAAAATGGGAAAACCCCATTTTTACCCCATACAACCCCTATAAACCCCCGTTCCCATAGCCCAAAATCCTGTGTTTATCTGTTATTTGTGGATTTTCATCTTTTTTTATGTCAGTAAGCTGATAAAAATACAACCTGGACTTCATATACAAGCTGGCCTTCATTAAAACCTATCCATTAAAAAAACCTGTAAAACCCTGACCTAATGCCATCTTTTCCAAAACACTTCATTCATTTTAATTATGTTAACAAGATTCTCATTATTTTTGTATGCTGATAGGTTGCAATCTGTAATGTATATAGGTTGTTTTTTTAAAGCCCAACGCAAATTAAAATTACCGTAAGACAGATTTTATTGACAATACAACCTTATATTTTGGTATCCCTGTTGTCTTTACTTCATTGCCGATCAGCTGATATGCGTTGTGCATAGTAATCTATGAGGTTTAGTGTATCGGGAATTTTATTGTAAATAATTACACTAGACATTCCATCCCCACGTTAAATTTGTAGCCAGATTTTTCTACCAAAATCGTCGTAGTTGATGTGAGCCACCTACAGATTGTGTTGATCTAAATTACTAAATTCTGTCGAATACACAATCTTTTTTACCAAGACAAACTTGGGAAATGACTCTTGATGAGTTATATAGCAACTGTTATGACCTATCAACCTGGTTAGCAAAAAAAACATTTTTTTATCAGAATTTATTTTACAACTAGTGTACATGTTGCTCGAATTGACTATTGTCCAGTGTAATTTCTTCTTTCACTGATTTAATTTTGAAGACATTCCTAATTGTAGTGTTGGATACGAACCAGGTTGCGCCAATAATTCTTCTCATAAATAAAACAGAAATAAAATAAAATTTTAGACACTAGCGCATTCTGTGACTATGGCTCACACAACTATGTTCCTTTTTAATAAAAAATGGTTACAGCTGGTCCATATAGATGGGAAGTCTACTTCAGTATCCAATAGTCAACAACACTGCTGTGTTTCCCCAATCTTGAAGAGTTAGACTCCATTCACAACATATACTGTAGGCAGTTTGAGGGGAAGTTCCCCCACCACATTTCTCTACTTCTATGTTGCAGCTGATTGACGTTTTGAAACATATCAGCTGTTTAAGCTATGTTTTAATGGTAGGATCAAGATGTGGAGGGAATAGATTTCTTCCCCTAAAACCGCCTAAATTTTGTGAACAGAGTATAGAATAATACGTTGAAAGTAAATGATTTTGGTTTTATGCCAAGAAAGGTTTGACATTAAGTTTCCAACTGTGTGATTCTAGTTCCTTGTAAATTAACTATTATTGACATGTACAAATTTAAGGAAATCAAATCCGTAGTAAACAAAAAATACCGTTGCAGCAAATTTGCAGACTAAGATTTGATTTTCTCTTAAATCTAGAGATGTAAGTTTTCCTTAAATTTGTATATGTCAATAAATTTGTATATGTTTAATAGAGTTAAGAATTGACTTCATCCCTTGCTTTGCCAAATTTTTCTCTGACCACACACACACACACACACACACATGCAGGTCAGAGGCCTATATATGTGGAGGGCAAATGCAAGGTCTAATGAGGTCACCAACCTTTTGTGAAAATTCCGAAATTGATCAAGAGACACAGAAGCTAATTCTATAATGGCGCATTGTAACTGTTGTAGAATTAGGGGCACATTTCCAGTATACTTTGACTGCAGGACAAATTCTTCCTTACACGCAAGTCTCGTGACCTTGTAGTCTCCAACGCCAGGACCAGGTCATAGCAGATCCGTTGAACTTGATCTTGGCCACAGCTACAGCTAGTACCGGTCCTGGGTGACTGTGGTTAGTGTCGCATAACTGTGCAGACAGACCACTGTACAGTTAAACATTCACATTTCAGCTAACGGTCCACTCTTCATTGGTTGGAAAAAAAGCACAACAATTTTTCAAGTTTTACAAAGAAACTTTCTTTGAATCACACATTCGTAGGTTTTCAATTTTTCGAGGTTCTACAATTTGGTCAACTTATACATCATACAATCAAATTCTGAAATTCTTGCACACCAATAATTTTTTAGCGAATTTCCCATATAGGGAATAAGCTATTACCGTAGTACTCATGGTAAGACCTGGACGCGGGACCGATTTTTTGTTTGTTTTGAGGTCCTTAGAGGCCAAAAACACCATCCGTTCAAATTCATATATATATATATATATATATAAAATATTTATATTTTTATGTCTTACTAATATTATAAATGTAAAAGTTTGTGTGTTTGTTTGTTTGTTTGTTTGTTTGTGTGTGTGTTTGAAGGTCAATCACGCATAAACCACTGGATGGATTGGGCTGAAATTTGGCATGATTATAGCTCACATTCCCGATTAACATATAGGCATATTCTTATCTCAAAAATCCCTTCGGGCTCCGCCCCAGTGGCTCTGTAGTTTTCCATGTTAACCTTAAGAGTATTCATATTTAAAGGGATGAATTACAGAATTTAGTCAGCTGTTTCAACTAAAAAAGTTGGTTCCATGATATACAAAAGCATTAAAAAGTTATAAGATCTACCAACAGGGTGCAGCACTATATTTTTTTGAATTTATGTAAACAGCTAATTTGAACTAAGCAACAACAAACAACTGTGATACGCAATGAGTACTGTCAAAGTAGGATTGTTTACAGTTATGTTTATGTTTTTAATGTCATGAATAATTTATGATTTTTTAAATTTGTAATACTTTATTTTTCTTTATTGTTTAGGTGAAGAGGTAGAACATTATGGCTATGGTAGATGTGTAATACCAATGTATACCGTCAATTTAAAGAAGCAAATTTTATCAAACTTTGTCCTCCCCCATTGCAAACGCAAAGCTTGAGTATAACTGCAATAAGCAATTTAAACTTATATGCCAACCCCGTACGAAGGAAAAGTACTCTGCTAGTATGTATATATATATATATATATGTGAGTCCGTTAGCACTATAACTCGAGCAAAAATGATCCGATTTTGATGAAATTTGGTATAAACGTGTAAACCTACATTTATTCGAACGAGTTCACGAACCAGCATGATCGGACTATGGGAACGGGGGTTTACGGGGGGTTTTATGGGGTAAAAATAGGTTTTTTGAATTTTTTACTGAAAATACATAAAATTTTGCAATATCTTTCTAAACCATTTAGTAGAGCTTAAATAAACAAATAATTTAGTATCAGGAAGCATTAATATGTGCCTAATGGGTACGGAGAAAATTAAAAAAAAAATGTAAATTTAAAATTCCCATGTTATTCTTTTTATGGAGAACAAGTAAACTGTTGTAGTTTGCTTGTTTATGAACATATTTTGATCAAATTTGGAAATTTTTTTTATTTCTTACTAACTATTAACATAAAAAAACAGTTTTACCCTCCCTGATGCAGCAAACCTAGGTACTTGTTAAACTAATTCTATTTAAATAGGAAATAAATGTTATATTTTTGAGTAGAGATAGACATTTTAGTGTAAATCCAATCAGGCAAATGGAAATTTGCATAGTCTGCAGGTTTGCTGCGGCGGGGATTTTTTTTTTTTACTATAGGTCGGCCGCTTAGAAAACGACCTCCTCCAGCATTGGTTTAGCATTAGCGCGCAGGTCGTTTTCTAAGCGGCCGAACTATAGTCACTTGTTTTTAAGGGGCATGTCCACAACTTCATAACACATGTTATTGGTTTTTTTTTTATATCATACGGAAACATAATATCCTAATTATAATGTCTTGAAAACATCGATATTATATGTTTATTATTCAATTTCAATAATTTATTCTTCTAACAAAAAGCCACTTTTAATAGGCTAGTTTTTTTAATGACAGGTACACACTTTGAGCATATATTTTAAGCAAAATTTGACTGAAGGATGAAAGTAAAATGTTTTGAAAATACCTGCATAGCTTAACCAGCTATTTCTTCGGCCAGGACCAGTTATTAAATACAGTTACAATGATCGGTGGTAGCTGGATCCTGTTTAAAACCATCTAAATGTACTGACTTTTATCAGGATCTTCTTTTAGAGAATTTCCCATATACGAGTAGATAAGGATATGGCCATACCGTCTTACCATGAGTACTACGGTAATAGCTTATTCCCGTAACCTAAGTAGGTACTCGTTAAACTAATTCTATTTAAATTGGAAATAAATATGAAATTTTTAAGAAGGCATTTTAGTGTAAATCCTATCAGGCTAATGGAAATTCGCTTAGTCTGCAGGTTTGCTGCGGCGGGGGTATTTTTCTCCTACACTCTTGTTTACACTGTATCAGTGTCAAAATAACTTTAATAATAAGTTTACTTCAAACTATGTTTTTTATTTATATTACTGATTAAGTCATCCATAAAATAGTAAAAAAAGATCAGCTTACTCTGTTGACGAAACAAGTCTACAGGTTATAGCACATTTACTAGTCATTCTGAACAGTCAAACTCACATGCTAGGAATATTTTAAAAGACCTCACAAACTCCAACATGCATGACAATCAGCTGATAATATCAAGGTCAATAGCCCCATCTGCATAGCTCAGCAATGGGCAAAGAACTCAGCTCAGCAGTGTAGAATAAACCAACATAACGTCCATATGTTAAATACTATAGTTCTGTTTATAATAACCGTTTTTTTCTAACAAATAAGAAAATACTTCAATATTTTAAGTGTATAAAGACCACTAAAAGATCTCAAATTCTATTAACAACAAAGCAAATGAGGATTACAGGGTAACATTTTGCCTGTTAATCTTTTTTTTATTATTAATCATCACAGTATGAAAATTGATTTTCCCTCTGAAAATTAAGTCACAACTTCGATTTTATCTATTTCTCATACCTCTACAGTTTTTGTTAAATTATCAAATTATAAACTACCGGCAGTCCAGGAAATGAATTAAAAGATAGAGTTATGAGTTATAATTTGTTAGAAATGGAACAAATTAAATTCACTTCAACAAAGTTTGTTGTTGTGGTTAATTAAAGTGCTCACCTAACAATCAACAGGTCGCTGGTTCGATCCTGAAAAAAGTCAGTAGCTGTTTGTAGTTTGAAACTGGACCCAGCTGCTCCTAATCATTGAACTTATGATAAATGATCCTGACTGATGAAACGGTTGAACTTAGTCAGTAACAAAGCTGCACAGATCATCTATTATTCTACACTCATCATTCACTCATATTTGGGTTAAAATACGCACATAGGTACGCCACCTAGGCTTGATGCGAGGGCTTGATGAGCTTTTCACTGACTGACACTTACAAATGATAGAATAACTAGATTTTATTAGAGTAGTAAAGCTTTTTCAAGAGCAGTAAATATTTCCTTGCATATAATTCGTGAAATTAAAAAATCATCAACTAGTCTAGGAAATTAAAGTACACAAACCTCTTTACCAGATAGTATAAAATGTATAAGTATAACATCCAGCGTAAAGTTTTCTATTTAAAAATTATGTTTAAAGTTATTTTTTCTGTTTCAGATTTGAAGAGGAGTCAAAAGCGTGCCTGAATCTCACTATGAAGTGTAAGATACAATTCATTTTCATAGTAAAACTCTGTGTTTTTCAAGCAGTCTCATCAATTTTCTTTGAGTCCGTTTATCAACTTTATAAAGAAAGTCGCATACCTTTTAGAGAAGACCCTTACATTGGTAATCGCCCTATTTTAAAAGAGTATGATTTTATAGTAATAGGATCGGGGCCGGGTGGAGCAACCGCTGCCAACAGACTATCAGAGATATACGATTGGAAAGTGTTGATTCTGGAGGCTGGCAAAGATGGCTCAATCTACACAGATATTCCTGCAATTGTAAGCTACCTTCAGTTCACAGACTATAACTGGGGCTACAAGATGGAGAAAATCCAAAATCTTTGTCTAGCCATGAAGGACCAGAGATGTCCATGGCCCAGAGGAAAAGGCGTTGGTGGATCTAGTCTTTTGAATTACATGATTTATACTAGAGGGCATCCGGCAGACTTTGACAACTATGAAAAAAGTGGCAACACAGGGTGGGCTTACAAGGATATCCTTCCCTACTATCTCAAATCAGAAAAAATCAACATTCCAGATCTTATGAATTCTAGCTACCACTCAAAAAACGGTTACCTAGATGTTGAACAGGTACCATACAAGACAAAGCTTGTGGATGTATTCTTAGATGGTTGTGAGGAACTAGGATACAAACCAATAGACTACAATTCAGGTGAGGAACACGAGGGAGCTTCGAGAATACAAGTGACGATGAGATCAGGTAAACGAGTCAGTGCTGCCAAAGCCTACCTAGAGAGTATTCAGCACAGGCCCAATCTTCATGTGGTGGAGAAAGCTAGAGTTACCAAAATAATGATTGATCCAAAAACTAAAAGGGCGATTGGAGTTGAATTTGTAAAGAATAGAAAAAGAAGGAGTGTTTTTGCCAAAAAGGAAGTAGTTTTATCAGCAGGATCTTTAAATTCTCCCCATCTCCTGATGTTGTCTGGCATCGGTCCTAAGAATCACTTGGAGCTTCATAAAATTCCTGTAGTTAAAGATCTTCCGGTCGGGGAAAATTTACAAGAGCATTTTACAATGCCAGGAATGGTGTTCACAATAAACGTCTCTGAATCTATAACAGAGAATAAAGCATTGAATTTAGAAAACTTAGATCTTTGGTTAAGTGAGGGAAAAGGAATTCTTACTCTACCAGGAGGAGTGGAGGGTCTAACCTATGTGTCGTCAAAATACAATCAAATCAAGGATTTACCTGATCTCGAGTTGCTTTTCATCGCTGGAAGTGTAGCTTCTGATGGAGGCCATATAGTCAAAGACAGTTTTGGAATCAGTGAGGAATTTTACAATAATGTCTACAGATCAATAGATTATGCAGAAACTATGACTGTATTCCCGATATTACTGAGGCCAAAAAGCCGTGGAAGAGTTATCTTACAAGACAAAAATCCTTGGCACTGGCCTTTGTTTTACTTGGACTACTTCAATAATACATCAGACTTAGATGTGATGGTTGATGGAATAAAGAAAGTAGTACAACTAGGTCTGACAGATGCTTTTAAGAGTGTTGGTGCCAGGTTACACTCAGTTCCCTTTCCTGGATGTTCAAGACACAGTTTTGGCAGCGATGAGTACTGGGCATGTGCCACTAGAACGCTACTTCTGACCCTTCACCATCAGAGTGGAACATGCAAGATGGGTCCAGCTTCTGACCCTACAGCAGTGGTTGATCCAAGACTCCGAGTCCACGGCATCCAGGGACTGAGAGTAGTTGATGCATCTATATTCCCTGAAATCCCAACAGCTCATTTGTATGCTCCAACTGTAATGGTCGGCGAAAAAGCTGCTGATATGATAAAGGCTGATTGGAAGAGATCTTGTTAAATCAATAGACAGTTGACCAAATTGTATGTAGTAGACTGTAATTCGTATTAATTAAAGTAGACTCCCTCTCATTCCAGTTGGTTTGGTTTGGACAATGGACAGTCCTCCTTAAATGACTCAAACACTCGTCCAAATAAACACAACCATTTATGACTGGTCTGTCCTGATACTTTACTAGACTGCTAATTGAGTGTAACTATTAAAATGTAATATATATTCATATCAATATTGATATGGGCGCCCATGGAAATAGATAGATGTCTACTTAATTTGTACTATAGTCTACTCTATGTACATCACATTTACCTTGCAATTATTTAAACAAAATGATTATTAAGAAAACAAAGTAAATGTAGAATGAAGCGTTGCATAATGTATAACACTAGTGTGTGAAAAATAATAATGTCTCTAAAAGATAATTACTTTTTATGGATTCAAACATTCATGTTCTCAATGTAAATAAATTTGTTTATAATAAAAATACTTTGAAAAATTTGAGTCAAAATAAATACCCAACTGGTTACAATTTCCTTTATTGCCATTATTCCTTTATTCCTAGAGTTGTCTGAAGAACTTATTACTTTGATGTCTTTAAGAGGAAAATGCCATCAACAATACTGTACTATGTGTGTCACACAATACATGTAAACTCAAGAAAGTGAATTTATGCTATACAAATCATACTTCAAATCATATACTCTTTAGTTCTATCATATTTCTTTGAGTTGAGCTTTTCTTCCACAAAATTCTCACTTATAAGTAGTAATGTCTTATAATGTCGCTCTCCCTATTCATACTTACAGGTAGTTGCTAGGCTGTTGAGTTGCTTCAGGTCATTACCCCCTCCCCTTAGCCCACAGGGCAGGTTTTGGCAAATTTCCCTGTAGGGAGGTAGCTAATTATAATAATGCCTTTATATAACTCGAACCATGAATGTTTCAAAATTATACCTTAGGATCTTGCATGTAGACTTTTTGTGTATAAATTAATTACCATTACCATAGGTCTCATGGTAAGACCTAGACCGGTACCGATTTACTTTTTCATTTTGTTGTCATCTACAGAGGTCAAAAACACTATTCAATAAAATGTTCATCTATACCTATAAAATGTAAATCCCTCACTGACTGACTCACTCACTCACTCATCACTAATTCTCCTACTTCCCATTAACCTAGGAGGCTGAAATTTGGTACACTGATTCTTTAGGCATAAAATAGGAAAACTAAGTAGTTTTTATTCTGATCAGACTTTCGGGCTCCGCCCCAGTGGCTCTGGAGTTACCCATGTTAGCATTATGAGTATCTATCTATATTATGTATACAGACTGTCCCAAAAGTCCCGGACCGGTTTAATATTTTCTAAACGACAACAGATAAATCAATTAGATTTGGTACACAAACACCACACCTAAAAATCTACTTTTTTAAGGAAATGTAAATTTTCTGTCATATTATGGGGACGTCCCGCAAGGAGTCAGAAGGAAATCTTAAATAGAAGCATAGGTTGACATGTACATCACATTAAAGACCTTTACTAGCAAAATATAATGCCGCAAATTTGAATTCAAACGGATAACTAAGCAAAAAATGGCAGCCGTTCAAAGATTTCTTAAGTCAGCCATTTTGAATCTTTGAACGACTGCCATTTTTTACTCAGGCGTTCTTTTGAGCGTGAATTTACGGCATTGTAATCTACTAGTGAAGACCTTTAATTTGATGTGCATATCGACCTATGCTTACGTTACAAATTTTCTTCCGATTCCTAGGGATGTGCCCCCTGAGTAAGCGTATAATAGCAATGCAAATTAAATGAATCTTTAAACCACTGTCATTCTTGGCACGGTTGTTCGTTTGAGTTCAACTTTGCGGCATTATATTCTGCTAGTAAAGACCTTAGCGTAGCGAACAAGCTAACTTGAAGGCAAGTGAGCGCAGCGAACAAGCTCCAACCTAAAGGTAAGTGCGAACAAACTTCAACCAGGACGTGATTGAGCCATGCGAACGAGCTCATCTTGAAAATTAACGAACATTTGACATAAAACCACATTAGGACAGGACGACGTCTGTCGGGCCAGCTAGTTAATAATACACTACATTAAACTTTGTGAACAATAAGATTTTTACTTTCTCCCCCTATACCATAGTATATGGAGAAAGTATTGTTTTCATCAACATTTTTGAGATTGAGTTTTGAGTGGATATATTCATTTTGGGCCCCCCTGGACCCAAAAAAGTGGTTTTCGAAGTGATGTCTGTGTGTGTGTGTCTGTGCTTTCGTGCTGCATAAGCTGTGGGGACATGAGTGTGAATGTGACCAGACTGCGTGGACCTGGTCGCTTATGTGGACATCACACACGTCCACACAATTTTCACAGGAAATACATTAACGTCATTAACTGTGTGGACTTAGTGATGTCTGATTAGTGGCGCTCCTACAGACTTTTTGGTGAACAAGGAAAGCAGCTGGCGGCTACTAGCAATGGGACTTGAGTGTTTGGCTTCCCAATCTCCTGATATAGAATACTCCTTGTACAACATTTCATAATAAAATATATCCCAATCAACTATTTAAATAATTCTTACAGTTTGGTTAAACATAGCATAACTATCATTTATATATATATATTTATTTATATAAATTTTATTTTTTTAACTTTTTATGCCACTTAATATTTTTTTCATAGTTATTTATTTTACTATTTGTTCTTGTGATTCCATTTAGCTCATATTTTCACCCATCTTCTTTCATTTATTTATTTTTCTATTTGATCAAATAGAATTAGATCAAAAGGTTAATCTATATATTTAATACACAGTTGTAACACTGTTTTCTCAGTAATTACTGGACCGATCTACAAGATTTATGTCTCAAATTAAAGAGGATAGTGTGTAGATTTGCCGAACTTCCTTAGAATTTACATTTTTTCTATGGGCCACGACCTACAGCCCTTTAAAGGTCGAGTCAATACAATTCTTATTGAAGAATATAATACACAGTTTATAAATTATTCGTCAGCTGTTTAATGTTTGTCAAACATTTGTTATTATTTTTATAACCTCACTTTCAGTATGCAATATTATTAAACTTGGAGTTTCTGTTTATAAACACACGATTTTGATCAAGGAAAGTGTATTTGTTAACTTATTTTTGAAATGTTTTAGTTTTCCTGCAAAGTGATCTGAAGGAAAGTGGTAATTGAGTTTAAGTTTAAGTATGGAATGTGAAATAATACCCATAGTAGGGGACGGAAACTTATTGTTTTGATCAATATAATTTATTCTCTATAGCCACCAGAACAATCATAGGGAAATCCGCTTGCAAGTTGAACAGATAAATTGCTAATGATTGGTAAACATACAAACATTTTATCGTAAGTGATTAATCTTACTCAAGATCAGTGTTCGACGTCCAAATCTTACCTTCTCGAGATGGCGAGTACGCTGGAATATTTGGAACTACAATTTATCAGTGAACTATACCCTAACTATATTTGTTCGAATAGGCCTACACAGGGAAGTTGCTTGAGAAACTGTGACTTACGATTTCGGTTCTGGCGAAGAAGTATCTGACTTGATGTTTAATGGCAGTGTTGACTCGGGTCATTATAGCGTTATAAAACTTTATCATTAACCCCATGATGTGAAAATTACAAAAAGAAAAGAAATGGTAATCATTAAACGGGCGTAGAACGAAAAAACATGCAGAGAACCATCGAACTAAAAAGGTAAAGAGCAGTGATGGTGTTAAATGTGCTCTGGAAGTCCCTTCTAAAAAATACCAATTTTTTTGAATTGGGGTCGTTAGATTGGATTTGTCAGTAGGCCTACTGCAAATCTATGAATTTTGAGTCAGAACAGACTAACTGGGACACAAATATTTTTCCTTATATTGTCACAAGGGGAAGGTAAAATGAACTCCTTATCAACATTTTGAGTTTATGGAAAATCTTATCAAAAGCGACTATAAAAAAGTATTAAGGGTCAAAAGAGACAAAAAACTATTTGAGTAAAATATAATACAAATCTGCATTTGAAATGGCCAGTTCTAAGTCTCACTGGAATCAACATCTTTCTGGTAGTGGTAGTCTACATAGTTTTAAAATCCACGACTCCTTTTCCATCAAATTGGACCGTTAATACCCTCTAACATTGAACAAAGTATGCCCAACTTTATATATACGACGTAAACACAGCTTTTACTCACAGTATGGGTCAAAGATTCGTGAAATGCGACCAACTGCTGATGCGTGATTTACATGTAGGCTAAGTGACTATCTTTATTCCATACAAAAAATGTAATGAAAAAAAACGACGAATATAGGAATATACTTGAGCAAATTGTCTAAATATCATAAATAGCTGCTTATTAGGTTATCAGCATTGCCCAGTTCGTATACTATTTATTTTTCAAATGAAACTCGAATTAATATAAAACATTCATTTGGTTCAAATCAAATCAAAAATCACTTTATTCACCTTTATAAATACAGGAATACATTATTAGGGTAACAATAGTATTCCCCCGAATGGACTGCAAGTCCGTGCTCGAGGGAAGAGCTCTTACCAGCAGGAAATAAGTTTTAGTTATTGTCCATAGGTCAAAAACATGTGCACACTGTTTATAAATTATGTGTACATCTGTTCTTAATACGTATCACTGTATCAGGAGCTCTTAATAAATATATATATATGCTATATAAATATATTGTATACTAGAATTAGTTAACAATAAACAGCCTTAAGCAACAATAAAAATATTAATCTATGAAGAAAAATTTATTTTGATAGCTATTATGGCGGCGTTTGATGTCAGAGATTAATTTACATGTAAGGCGAACGAATTAAAGCCTCTGCAGCCAATAATGTGGTTAAAATAATATATCGGTTTGATTAACATAAAATAGTTTATACAGGCAAACTATCAGTTCTATTTCATGTAAAAAATTAAACAACCCCTAAATAAAATACAAAGATAAACAGTATTTGTTAATTATTATTTCTTGTATTGCTGACAATATTCCCGTGGCGGAGCACGGGCGGTTAACTAGTTTAATTTATTCAGTTCATTTCACATTTATGTTTTTCTTCTCC